GGACGGTCCGAAGGCTTGACCCAACGGGCTGCGATAGAGCCAGACTCTCCGTCCGACTCCTCGCCCGCAGCATCTCCAGAGATGGGGCCGTCTTCCACGTTCCCTTGCTTCTTGAGGGCCTTGAGACGAGCAGCATTTGCCAATTTGATCAGTTTCGTTTCCGCACCCTCTAGCTTCATCGCAGCGTCGTCGCGCGCAGACACCTTTTCTTCCAATTCGCTGGTATCGGTTGTCAACCAAACATTCTTGACCTTGTCGACGCCGAACATCCGACGAATCTTGTCGCGATCAAGGTAGTCTTCCGTGACGGCAGAGAACAGCACGGTACGCGAAGACAAACGACTGGCGTAAGCAGGAGAAAGAGCGTAAGCCTGGCGCAAGTTGATATAAAAGAGACTTTCGCGAGTAATTGTGAAGAACACAAAACCTAAGCAAATTGGGAATTAGAATGAATCATTGGCATGTCTGGCGCAGTCTCGTGCTGCACTCACCGATGAAAATCCATGCGACAAAGCAATGAGCAAAGTAACGTCCATAATTATTCGAAGCGACGTTCGACATGCTGAGGATATCCAACTGCTCCTTTCCAGCACCGCCGGTTCCGTTGACCGGCAGCAAAATGGGGAACGTGATACAGCAGCCCACGAAGCAGATCATAGAAACAGTCTTCAAGAACCGGAGCAAGAGGTACGCATCCATCGAGTGGTGTTGCAAAACGTACTCGTCGGGTAATTGGTACATGTGTTTGATCCAGTTCCACAATCCGGTCGGCGACGCAGGTGTCCGTTCAGATGGTCGCAAGACGCCTACATAGGTTCGCGGCATGTACATTCGACGCTCACGGCGACGCAGAATGATGAAGATGGACACCATGGCGACGGCCGCCAGCAAGGATGGCACCAAGGTGGTGACCAGGCCCGAAGCCGAACTGGAGGCATTTTGAGGATTATCGGTGCTCTGAAAGGAGGTTAACCACGTTCATTCTCTGTGTAGGAAACGCGATACGCGATATCGCGAAGTTCGAGAAAACATACTCGCCCGCCTAAATGACGGAGACCTAAAAGGCCTGCATCGGTGATGGCCATGATGCCCCCCTATTAGAGCGCAGTGGGGCGATCGCAATCACACCCGACAGTGGAAGGCCGCGTGTACTGAGGGTTGGAAGTAGGCTAACACAGGGTCTTCTTCGCTTGATGTATTGAAACGATCCTGAATAGAGATGGATCGCAAAATGAGAGGGGATGAAAGCGAGGGAAAAGATGATGAAAAGAAGGAAGATTGGGGGAGGGGGACGGCCGACAGTATTTGTTTGAAGGAGGGGACAAAGTAAAATGAGATAGACTCAAGGAACCCGAAGCTTAGCGATAGGGGGAGCCACTTCAACACACGCTTTTTTGCGCTGAATTTTTTCTCTTTCCCCGCTCAAGTCGGATCATTCGAGTTTGGACGTAAGGAAAAGCACAAAACAATCAATGAACAAGCTGTTACTCAGTAGTAGCACGCTTAACGCATTCCAATTGGTTCTCTAAGAATGAAGAAATTGCTTAGTTCTCGCGCACAGATTTCGGTTCCGCCGACCGTGGAGGTAGTTAACTAATAGTTTATTTGTTAAGAGTATAGTCGACGAAGAGGCCGGCCTTCACGGCATTCGATGGGCTAAAAGTGAAAAAGATATGATCATGAAGCTGGAGACTAAACCAGCTTTAGCAGGCGCTGTGATTGTCGCTCTCCACCGAGCAGTCGAAAGCGAGTGAGGAGCACAACCAGCGATTGCGCAGACATGGATCACAGAGAGTCGATGACGCTGGCCGCTGGGGTTTCCAAGGGGATTTTGACTTTTGGTCCTGAGCAAACTACTAACTCACAGCCTAGTACACGTAGTGGCGAATGCCGATCATCTCCAGCCTTTCAGCTCGTTCAGCCACACCTCGTCATGATGAGACCAAGCCAAGAGCACAGTTGAAGAATCACCCGGTGTCAGATACGGAGCAGCTGTGATGTGATTCGTATGTGTTGCAGGAGAATTCATGTCGTCTTGGGTTGCACCCAACACTGCGGCTGCCCACCTCCAGGCTGCAGAGCACCGCAAACAGATTATTGAGCAGGCCCTCCTCGTCCTGACCACTCGGTATCTAGTAGCTTGTCACAAGAAAAAGAATTCCGAGGCAAGTGGATGAGTTGTTCCAATATTCCAATAGATCGCCCCTAGCGTGCCGCCTGGTGCGGTGTTAGCTTGTCTAGCCTGTCTCGTTTGATTGTTGGGTCGGATGACTTAGGCGCGAAAAGTAAATTGGACCCGTGAAAAATACTGAGTACAAAGCCTAAGAGAAACCCAAAAACCCAGTTATAGAAAAAAGGGGGGGGAGGGGAAGCCCCGAGAATGGAAGATGGAACAGATGGAACCATGGTGGCGAACCATCTGCAACTTTGGGTCAAGAATTCCGATCGCTGGTCTGGTGAAATGCAAGCTAGACTCGATCTGGTATCTAGTCCCCTGGTCCACGGTAGCATCCACGGTAGCTCTCCACCTGCACCGCCCCCTCATGGTCCTTTCACTGTGGCTGGTGAGCCACGCTGCAGAGTGCACATGCACTGCGTGTGCTGTAGCACGATGCGGACTTGTCGTGACAGACAAGTCCGTCTTTACCATGTGATGAGCTTGCACTACCACGTTAGCCCTATTGCCTTATGGGAAGTCAATTTCCACAAGTGAGTGGCTGGAAGGGGACGGTTTGGTTCGGGGGTACGGAGTACTCCGTAGCAACTTGGAACATAAAGTAGCTCCTCAGCCACAGTTCTGCCGTGCGCTTAACACAGACCGATTGTTTCATCCGATCGAGGAGTCAGGAGTGAAGAGGTTGAGTCTATGATCCAACCAGTCCTCGATATGATCCTACGATGATACGATCGGACCCGGGGAGGAAATCGCGCTGAATTAAGCATGATGAGCAGCAGGCCGCGTACGGGCCACCATGCAACAATTGCTAACCCCCGAAATCTACCTCGATCTCGCCACCACCAACGCACTGGTCAATGCTAGCTTGGGGCTGCTCCCGTGGCTAGCAGGGACAACGTGTCCGTCGAGATAATGTCGATGTCAACTGTCAAAGAACCGGCCCACTATGATGGGTAGATTACCTTCCCGGGTCAAATGATACCAGTTCTATCGGTTTGATCGCAGACTTTCAGCTGCCGTGCTTGGGCCTCCAACCTCCGACATTTCTTATCACCAGTTAAACAGATCCTAACCTCCCGCCAGATTGCTAGGATCTTTATCGTTCAAGGCTAGGCCTTGAAGGGCCCCGCCTGTAATGTCGCCCACAGCAAAGCAAGACAGAGCTAGACCGCCAGCTTTTCCTGTTTAGTAGCGCACCTTGGCCTGCGCAAGTGCAAGACGTTCAAAGCTGTCAACAAACTTCCCAACAACAAACTTCCTCCGAAGGGCCTAGATAATGCACGGACGAGGGTGGGACATGTGGCGAGAAACTTTTTTTGCTCCATGGCAGATGTCACGCGGAACTGTAGGGTTTTTTTCTTGTCCCTCTTCTCCGTCAATTCTTGATTGTTTTCTTCATCTCCGGGCTTCGTTCTTGTCGGCCTGGGAAAACCTAGTAGCCGCAGTTGTCCTCCAATATCGTCTGGGGTACCGTAATCAATGTGTTGAAATTTAGTGCCAAGATTATCCTTTAGGTCAAAGGTCGAGGAACGGTCGCACATCCACCTGAACCACGTGTCGGATTGTTCTGTTTACCTTTTCTTTCTGTTTTCACAATTCGCCGGCTTCATCGATCCATGCGAAACCCAGGCTTTGCTTGCTTGCCGTTGTATGGTCGCGCTAACTGGTCCTTTCATGGAGCTGCTGGGCATAATTTCGCGTACTGTACTCCGTACAGTACATATAGCACTGTCTCTGGCTGTGGGATGCAGTAGTGGACAATGAGCTCGTCCTATTCAGGAACTGCGAAATGAGAAACCAACGGAATAAAAACCCCGCTCAAAGTCAGCCCGGGTAGCAATCTCGATCCAATTCGTCAGTTCGACTAGGTTATATTCGGTTGCAATCAAGGTCAAAGCGTGACTTCCCAGGATTTCTGCTCTCGCGGAACCGCGCGACGGGTAGTTGCAGCAGGGATCTTGTCCAACAGTAAGTTCAACTATTTGGCAAGGTAAGTTTACTCCGAACACTGCCGATTTCGTCGAGACAAACTCGAGGACAAACCTAGTATATATTCAATATATACATTTGATGTGTGTGTTTGCAATGCTGGCAATAGAAGAGATAAAGGAATCGGTATGGACCGACCACTGGTCTATTGCCGAGGATACGAGATGATGACCCATTCATTGGCGGTGGTCCTACTAAGTAGGTACAGTCAGTTGACCCTTCTCGGGAGTGCAACCGGCTCCTATTCCGCCTTCCTACTTTGGTATATCCTGCCAGCTTGGAGATTCTTTCTTAGAGTTAAGGTTTCGGATGGCTATAGAAAGTTATATATTTGACTTATGTGATACAAGTGGCATTGTAGCTTGGTATTCCTAACCTTAGTATTTGAACTCGCTTGAAAAGAATATATGTTGTATCCGGAAGGTAGAATCGAGACCAAAATCCTCATATGTCAAGGAGGAAGTAATCACGTAGGCGGTACACAGACCGTGGACGTGGCTTTCTGAACCAAACAATCTGACAGCCAACACAAACTTAGACTCCAGCACTACGTCATAGGCGATCGTTCTAACTGCCTATATCCCTGCATGGTAATCAATCCTTGGGAATGGGGAAGGCTGCATGGTCTGAGGCCATCAATGGCAGGACGGTATGTGCTAGTTAGTAAATATAGTTAATATAGTTATCGATGCTGAGAAATGTGCTCTCCAAAATGTACCGAAACAAGCCCGGCAGTCAACAACACTATACCAACACTCCAGATTCGCTCAAGCGTTACAGAAGACCTAGAAAAAAAAATAAAGAAAAAAAAAACTGGAGTGGAAGAACTCAGAATTCAAAGAGCGAGCACTCTTCTTTCAAACTCCCCAACTTCTAGAGTAGGACTCTCGAGCATGAGAAAGCTGAAAAGAATGTTGCCGTACTCAACTCGTAAATCAGGTGGTAGCTTTTTGATCATCTTCAGCAGCTCTCCCATTCGCCACGCCCGTTCTGAGTCTCTCAACCTCGGGATACATCGTTCCTCAAGTAGGAGCCATATGAATGTTTCACATGCGGGATTTCTGTCGAGTTTATACTGCGCGACAAGCTCATTGAGATGAGCAAGGAACTGACGGGTTTTGTCGGGTTCATATTGGTAATCCCACAGTGCGCTTGTGATGTGTATCAAACACGCAGTGCGGCTAACCTCATGACTAGGTATATTCAGGTTCATCACATATTTGTGCAAGTCCTGTGGAACCGTGGATGGCCAAGGCCCAGGACAAAGTGAGCAGAAGAGCGGACTGGCCATCTGGAACGCCGTCCGCCTCTGAGGCACCGAAGCCAAGTATGCAGCTGTGCTGTGTTTGAGCTTCAATTCTTTCGCACCTCGAAGGAAATGGACTAGCATTACTCTGTCCTCATGGCCCAGTGAGAACTCCCGTGGCATCTTCAGATACTGCACATAATGCAGGAACACTTCAGCAACGCCCATTGAATCCTGCCAAGGGCGCATGCGCAGAAGTCTAAGTGCCTGGTCTTCGTACTCCATAGCAGCGGACTCATTATCACCGAAGCGATTCTCATGGAGAGACATTCCGGCAAGAGCCATCGCAAGAGAATCATCGTTCTTCTCGTTTCTTGCCTTTTGGATCATGGTGGAAGCCCTGATCAGATGAAGTTCGGATTCAGGGCTGGATTCGAGACCGTATAATCGGGCCCGCCAGCGAGCGCAATAAGCCAGAATGATCGCTTGAAAGCACACTGGATGAGCTATGGCCGCTTTATAAATCTGGAGCTTGATGTACTGGTTCTGTCCTGACCAATAACTTAACTTGCTCACCCATGCATCAGCCAGTTCTTGGTCAGCTACAGAGGTGACAGCTGGCAAACTGTCAAAAGGATCTTTCCTAGACGAGTCCAGAATCGTAGCGGGCGACGGAGGAGACCAAGTATCATCTGCGTGAGGTGAGGTTGGCGTTGGTACAGGAGGACTGGTTGAGTTCTATGTATCAAGCGAAAGTCAGCACCATGAGTAATCATTATAAGCAGCGTGTCAGCTAGGCTAAGACTGGTAGGAAAAAGCATCCGAGTCACAACGTGGAAGCAAGTGATACAGTCCGCCAGCCTATGCAGATCGTCACGAAGCTTACATTGTGATTATGAGGCTGGGTAGACATTCGCCGGAGATACCTCTTCTGATTATGCTGGCGCATGACGTGCGACCTCCGTGCACGGGGGCTGAGGTTTTTATCGACGAATAAATAAGTTGTCTGCATTGCGGAAGACTGACCGTCCTGAAGTCCAGGTAAATGACTTTGTTGGCCGGTGCTAGCCCGGGTGCTAGCAGAAACTCGAGGGGTAGGATCAGACGTTTCTGTCACAAGAAAAGAGTGAGCTCTTGGTCAGTAGATAAATGCGCGGCAAATCCGCGCCAACCAAAGGAAAAGAGGCATCGGAAAGACCAACGTTGTTGTGTTGATTGAGAAGGATCCTCTGCCTCCAGGACAGGTTCAATTGGATTTGTTGAATTGCTCATTGAATGTGCGCGTGCCAGTTGCCAGTAACTAACCATGCCAGCACTTGCTGTTATCCAGCAAGTGAAGGGAGTAGGTGGAAATAAGAGGAAGGGAAAGTATATGTTAACAATGCATGTCGAAAAATAGAAGAATCGTTGCAGATTGCGAGAAGAATGGTCATTGCCCACAAGGCTATGAGAAAAGTGGGTATATAGCTTGTCAGGCCACGAGGGGGGTAAAGAGCCGAATTATCTATCCGGCTGGGTCTTCGAAGGCAAATTATGGAAACGGGGAAATGGGGAGGGGAGAGTGGTAGAAGGGGAGAGGGTGTGGAGGGAGGGAGTGTGTGTTGTGGTGGAAAGAAGGGAGGGAGGAAAGAAGAAGATTCACACGAGAGAGAGAGAGAGAGAGAGAGAGCGAGAACTCAGCTTGAAGGTGGGAATTGGAGTCGGAGGAGGGAGCGGCCAGTGCTCACTCACTAAGTTACCACCACTCAATTACTTGTGGAAGAACTCACTAATTACTCAGTTAGACACCAACCTTAGAACACCACCACGACACCACCACCACCACTGCTGCCGCAGAAAGGCCCCACGACCTTCCTTAGGCTACTCCGTATTCCCGGGGCCATGTATACTAGTTTACTAGGTAAGTACGGAGTACGGAACTTTAGGTATGGATCCCTATCCTCAGTCTTCCAATTCCATATTAGGTATACAGTCTTACCTTACTAGCCAAGGAGTACGGATACTGCTTGACTTACCTAGGTACCCATATGTGACCTATACACAGTACATTCTACACGGATTGTTCCTTTGCCATTGGGTCGGGAATGGTTGAGGTTGGCCGGAAAAGGAATCCTACCCGTCAATCTGGTATGATTGGATGTGGGGAAGAACAACTTATGGAACCCACCTACTACCCTGGCTGGTTAGACCACCTATCATCCACAAATACAATCAGTCAATAAATAATTCAGACAGACGGGAAGGATCCCGCTTGGTGCGGATTGTTGGAACGCTCGGGGAGCTCCCCGGTGGCTTGATTTCCCTTGTTGGCTCTCTGCAAAGTTCAAACTTTTCCCCCCCCAACTCCACTCCAAATCGCGCCTATCTACGTAGCAGGCTCCCAGGCCTCCAGCTCGGGCCATCTTATTCCAGAAGAGGCAAAAGGTCTTTGAAAAACACATACCGGCCAGATCTGGTAGGTCAATCGCGAGGCGGGGGGAGGCACAGCGTGCATAATGGTAGCGTGGTGCATATTTAGTTGGTGGTGAGCTGAAAATCCTCCCATCCTAACTGTTGGTATGCGTCGTATGCCCGCCCTTAGACACACTCTCAAATAACTTCCATCATTGACCAAGACAGGAAGAATGAGAGCATGACGTTCGTTCCGTGGTCGACCCAGTTTGGGTCGCAAGATCATGACGAAACAAGGCCACCCGGCCATAACAAAGAGACAGGAGAGGCACTGGAGGATTGTCGCTATCGCAGTAGCTTGGAGAAGCTGCGCGTGTGTGTCACTTCGTATTGCTGGCGTAGGCTGTCCGTGGCTGCTGTAGGTGCATGGCTAGACGGGCTTAGTCTGAACCACTCAGAGGAGGATGCTCTGGCAAGATCACAGGAAGAATGCGAACAATGACGTAAAGAAGTCTGGCCGTCACGATTCCAAGGTCGTGCTCCCGGGCAATATCAACGGAGGACTATGATAATTGTCTGTAGTATGCCGAAGGTGGATACGCTCTTTATCCGCGGATATTACTCGAGTCTCAAGCCACCTCGCAAAGAAAGACCCTTCACCAAGTGCGAATGATACCAGACTGCTACGGGGAGCGTCAATTTCTCAATGTACATGTGGACTGAGGTGCTCGCAAATCTTTATTACCATGTTAGTCGTTTTTCATCTGAAAGTTCAGCTGTCAATCCTCAGTTATGGGGTCGTCTCAACCGCATCGGGGCAAAGGGCCAATTGAGTCAATCACCGCAGCAGCAGTGGCAGTTGCAGAACCAAACGCTCCATTTTGCTATTGATCATCGGACCGTTCCGCTTTCCTCGAATAGGAGATCCTTTCTGCTCTGGCAAGTGCCAAATCACATCTGCAACATGCCCTGCAGTGGATATTATCCTGACTATGATACGGCCGATGCCACCACGGACGTCCTAGAAAAAGCCTTTTCAACCGTCATCGTTATTCTAGAGGGCAAGCCTGTCTAGGAGCGCCGAAGCGCAAGCCCCATGACCTTCTGCCCCAGTCTTAGGAGAAGAGGATCGATCAGTATGTACTCCGTACTGTACCGGTAGACCGCTAGAGTGCGCGAAATGTCGAGAGGCCAAAAGTACCAGGCTGCCCTTGCTGTCTACTCATGCATCAGTTGCAGCACAAGGTCTAAGTTATGTTCTGCTGATCGTAATTAGTCACTGCACTGGCTGCTCTTTGTCCATGGTTGTCGGCTCTATTGAGTGCCATGAAGCTTTTTTAGTGCTCTTTGTTGGTTAGCCCTAATAACATTTGCATGGCATTCCTGAGGTCAAGAAGGACACTTGAAGTTTAGAGCTCAGTGTGACCTAAAAGGAGCTGTTTCTGTGAATTTGTTCTGCAAGTCATGAAGCGCAGATTGTGAGTCCCGGCCTTGCTGGATATATTGCTGGAGGAATGCGGTAATGGCTCATGGAGTATCACTCGGTCCCGAGTCCACTCCGATTCGTCCGTACTTCTGCCTCGAAATGGCTAGCCCTAATTCTCAGCTACGGTAGCAGCTTGGCATTCCCAAAGGAATGGAAATGCCCACCCGATACATGACTAAGCATCCAGAAAACCACTTAACGCGTCGGGGAGCGGAACAATGTAGTCCCGACGCGTTCGTGCTGCGGTCGCGTCCCATGCAAAAGCTCGACGGAAAAATGTCAATGCGAAGCAAAAGTGCCAAACACATTCGTTCATTCCATCAACACATCAACACCCTCTGGCCAACCCACCCTCCTCCCTCAAGGCTGGCCCTTCTGATTGACTGGCAGCAAACTGGACACTTACCTGAGATACCATTAGCTCGCCGAGGGTTGTAGTCTCTCATATTTATCTTAGTCGAAACGATCCCTACCCACGTACTTCAACGGCCTTACCCTGGCCATCCGCCATTCGCCATGTCCTCCCTCTTTGATGCCGTCCTGCAGTCGGAATTGGGCTCGACGGCGGGCTCTCGTCGTATTCACTCGGATCAAATCCCCAGTTCACGACCGCAGCCACCCTCAGAAAGCAATGGACCGATGAGCGATATGCACGGCTATCCAGACGAGCAAGGAGCAGACTCTAACGCCTCGACCGTAGGCCGACTCCGCAACCCATATCTTCCCCCTCCCCCCCCAGTGACCGATGTCGCTGGAGAGAAAGTGCAACAGGCATTCGAAGAACTGCTTGAGACATACGTGGAGGAGCCTTCCCTCTCACAGCCGCCCCCGCCGTCTGCGGAGCTCTTGAGCGACAAATACTACATTGCTCAAATCCGAGGCATGGCCAAATTCGAGCTTTCAACGCTCTATGTGGACTTTACGCACCTGACCTCCCTAAGCAACCCGATTCTGGCAGACGCGATTGCCAACCAATATTATCGGTTCCAACCCTTTCTCACCAAGGCCCTGAACAACCTGATCGCTAAGTATGAGCCGGAGTACTATGCTGCACATCGTCAAGCCACCGCTACTAGCAGCATCTCTTCGCAAGCAGGTACCTCTATGGTTGCGGGCAACTCCAGCGTCTCCGACAATCCCGATTTGGAGCGTGATATTCGCGAGAAGACTAGGCACCAGCAAACCGATAGGCTATTCTCGCTGGCGTTCTACAACCTACCTCTGGTGTCCCGACTGCGCCAACTTCGGACGTCCCAGATTGGAAAGCTAGTCTCTGTATCCGGCACAGTCACACGTACCTCCGAGATCCGACCCGAGCTCTCTCTCGGTACTTTCACTTGTGAACTGTGTAAGGCAGTATGTCCCAATGTGGAACAGACTTTTCGCTACACCGAGCCCGCACAATGCCCCAACGACACCTGCGGGAACCGCACCGCATGGCGCCTGGATATCGGCAAGAGTACCTTTGTTGATTGGCAGAAGGTCAAATTGCAGGAGTCGTCTCATGAAATTCCAACTGGCAGCATGCCACGGACAATGGACATTATTTTGCGAGGCGAGATGGTGGATCGTGCTAAGGCTGGTGAGCGGTGCATCTTCACTGGTACACTGATTGTTGTGCCAGATGTGAGCCAGTTGGGATTGCCTGGGGTGCGGCCGGAAGCTGTCCGTGATGACGGTGCCTTCCGGGGAAGTGACATTGGTGGCGGCGGTGTGAGTGGTCTGAAAGCTCTTGGTATTAGAGACCTCACCTACCGACTCGCGTTCCTTGCTTGTATGGTGACGCCTGACACAACAACTCCCGGTCAACAGACGAAACAGCAGTTGAATGGCCAGTCACATAATATCCTGGCTTCGCTCAACCAAATCTCAGATCCTGAGACTGATGAAGATCAGGCGCAGGAGGCTTTGCTTCAAAGTCTGACGCCCTACGAAGTTCAAGACTTGAAGAAACTCGTGCATTCGGAGTATATCTATGCGCGGCTGATCGACTCCATTGCTCCCATGATCTACGGTCACCGGCAAATCAAGAAGGGCATATTGCTACAGCTGATTGGAGGAGTCAGCAAAAATACCGAACAAGAGAATCTACAGCTCCGTGGTGATATCAACATCTGCATTGTTGGTGACCCATCAACCAGCAAAAGTCAATTCCTGAAGTAAGTAATTCGGGCCCCCTGTGGTTTCCAGATGGTGATACTGATACATTCTTACCCAGGTATGTGTGTTCTTTACATCCTCGGGCTGTTTATACCAGTGGCAAAGCCTCCTCTGCAGCGGGTTTGACTGCGGCTGTTGTGAAGGATGCCGAGACGGGCGAGTTCACAATCGAAGCGGGAGCTCTGATGTTAGCTGTACGTGATCCATACTATCGCTGAGCCGAGTTATCACAGAACTAACCCTTTTTCTGAACAGAATGGAGGAGGTATCTGCTGTATTGACGAATTCGATAAAATGGACCTCAGCGACCAAGTTGCGATCCACGAAGCCATGGAACAACAGACCATTTCTATCGCCAAGGCTGGTATTCATACTACCCTCAACGCCCGTGCGTCGATTCTCGCCGCGGCCAACCCTATCGGTGGCCGTTACAACCCGAAGACTACATTGCGTGGCAACTTGAACTTCAGTGCTCCCATCATGAGCAGATTCGATCTGTTCTTCGTGGTCCGAGACGACCCTAATGAAACAGTAGACCGCAACCTTGCGGACCATATTGTCAACGTGCACATGAACCGCGATGAAGCAGTTAACCCGGAGCTCAGCACTGAGCAACTGCTGCGTTACATCCGATTCGCAAGAACATTCAGACCCGTGTTCACCGAGGAGGCCAAGGCTTATTTGGTTGAGAAGTACAAGGAACTTCGTGCCGGCGATGCCCAAGGTGGCATGGGCCGCTCCTCTTATCGTATCACGGTTCGACAGCTTGAGTCTCTCATCCGTCTTTCCGAGGCCGTTGCAAAGGCCAACTGTGTAGAGGAGATTATACCCAGCTTTGTGCGTGAAGCCTACGACCTTCTGCGCCAAAGCATGGTGACTGTTGAGAAGGATGATGTTGAAGTTGATGACGAAGTCAACGCTGATAGCGGTCACGCTGCCGATGAAGATCATGAGATGGGTGACCGCGATCGCGAAGGCGACAGCCCTATGCGTGATCAAGGCGAGCCGGCACAACAGACCCAGCCGCCTCGCACACGTACCAAGATCACTTATGATAAATACATGAAGATCTTGAACTTGCTTGTACGACGTGTGCGCGACGATGAGTCGATGTCTGGCGAAGGTGTTGAACAGGAAGAACTTCTCGTCTGGTACCTAGAGCAAGTCGAGTCTGAACTGGAAACCGAGGAAGATCTGGAGCAAGAACGCTCCCTGGCTGTCAAGGTTCTGAAGCGGATGGTCAAGGTACGTACTGTGTTGCACTTACCCCCGCTCCATTCTACTGGTCTCATGCTAACTCACCTGGACAGGACAACATTCTTATGCCTATTCGTGGACAAGGTCTGGTCGACCCAGCTGATGAGTCTGCCCAAGTGGAGCGGACTATCTATGTCATGCATCCCAACTGCGCCATCGATGAGGAGTGATTCTGCGCCTGGTGTTCTAGGAATAGGGCGAGGTAATAGGAAATGGTGAAGCAGGAGTAACGGTGCCCGGTGCCTTGGTCGTTATGAGTGATGATTTTCTGATCTATTTTTACATGAACTTACTCGCACATTGTCGGTGGAGCGTATGTGATCTTGGACTGTCGAGTCTGGAGTACATGCATGGGTGACAGTTTTGCCTTCATAATCTACGATTATAATAGCTCATGAATTGCTGATACGTCCATTTCATCCTTGAACTTATCTTTTCTCATTTCCACCTCGTTTGATATGATACTTGGCTCGTTTATCGTTACATTATCCATCATCTATACCATTTCTACTTGACCTCACCCTTGCTCCATATATAGAAGCTATCCTTGGAGGTCTCTTCAGCCTTTTTCCCCTTCGTCTACTCTTCCCAAGACTTGACTTTGCCCTACCTGGTCAAGCCTTTTCAACTTACCTTGCTTACATCCTACTCTCACCCAGCACTCATTCTGAACAATATACGCGCATCTTTTTTGTCAATCAAGTAAAGTCAGCTATTTCCTCGAGCACCTTCATCCTTCCTGACTATCAGACCTCCCTTGGCTTTGCAATTGTCATACTCAATCACTACTCAATCAAGTCTCACCCTTGCTGAATCACCCTCTGCCCACATCTTGAACTCGTTCTTCGCGCCGTTGGGCCAACATCCTGCCATATAAAACCACCCATCCTCATCCTCTCCTGTTCTTCCATCCTTCTCAGCCAACCTCTTGACATACAAATACCACCCATCCTCTCATCCTCTCTTGTTCTCCCACCCTTCTCAGCCAATTCCCTAACATATAAATACCACTCATCCTCTCATACTCTCCTGTTCTTCCACCCGTCCCAGCCAGTCTCCTGCCATATCAATACTCAGCCACCTTCACATACTCCTCCCGTCCTCCTGTTCCTCTCGATCGACTTTCTCATACTTCTCGCACCTTGCACCCTATATCCAAGCCGAATTCCCCGTACAGCCAGCTCTCGCTTCCTTACTTCCCTTGAGAGTCCCCTCCCTGCCTTCCTCCATACTCCCGTCAGCCAAACCGCCTGCTTTCACGCTTCCGTCAGCCACCGTCCCTTCTTCCTCAAGTCACCTGATCATCTATACCTTATACTGCTTCACTCGTCCACCTTATCATCTAAATGTTCTCACGTGACACGCGATATCTCGCGAACCATGTCCACAGGCGCCCCCACAAGCCTGGAGGAGAAGAGGACCTCTCAGGCGGAGACAGATACAACAAACCAGACCGAGGCTCCGACGCCCGCGGCGTGCCAGCGAGAACACGATATCACCCAACTGCCCATTGAGGAGGCATGTAGGACGGCTAATCTCGACGATAGCAGCCAGCAGCTTCTCCCAAACCCAGGTAAACCGGCTTCCTTGCATACGAACTTAATTATTTCACTGTGATACTGACGTTGCAAATCAGACGATCGCTGGATCACAGATGCCGGTCCGGTAATGCAATTGGCTCCTATCTCTAGCCTTCAGCATCCCAATGCAGAGGATTCGCTCTTTGTTCCGGACTCGAAAAGTTCTGTGGAGTCTCCGTCCCTCCCTCCCGCTGATGTGCAGATGGTGCATCCGGATGAATTTATCTTACCCAGTGTCCAAGGCTTTGATACTTCCATACAGCCATTGTCTTTCCCTCCCGCTGATGTGCCGATGGCAGATGCGATCGCTGCAACTTGTAATCAAGAATTTCTCACTGCCATGCAGTATTCATCTTTCCAGCCTGCAGATATGCAGACGATGTATCTGGATGGACCAGATTTGGAACACCCCCACGCGGCGGACTTATCGAGGAAGGTAATGGAAGCGTTGCTGAAGGGTTTGGACGGTGAACCTGGACCTACGACTAAAAGTCCGCACGAGACACCAGTGCCCATGAATAGAGAGCTTGATGAAGCGGACAAGGATCCTTCGGCAGATGCCATTGCAGATGACGAAAATCCTCGATCATCGCTGGATAATATGCCTGTCGTCTCTTCAGCGTCATCTGCAGCGTTAAATGCTAACCCTCAATCAGTGAACCTGGCTCATGAGGGTGAGGGGGCCGAGTGGCCTGATGATGAGCTTGATGCTATTGCCCAACAAGATAACTCGAACGCAAAGTGGGTGACATATGACCTTACTCCAGCAGTGCGGTGACTAATTACTGGTTATAGATTCAAAGCTGCAGAACGCCATTTTCAGAGCATTGAGATACCTTCTTTGGCAGATCAGATTCTCTTTGAAGCTGCTGAAATGGAGGAAGAAGCGCGTGAAAGAAGAGTCGCCGCGAGACAAGCTTTTCAGGCAGAAAACCAATCGACAATCTCTAGTGATGAGGATTCAGGAGCAGTGCTCAACGAGCAAGTGCATGCTGAAGTTATGGCGCAGCCGTCGGAGAATACCGTGCAGTACGCTCAGAAAGCCACCGAGTCGACTGGCCAGGGACAACGACCACGGGTGCCACGAAACAGAAAGAACAGAATTTCAGCTGATGAGAAGCGCAAGAGCAAGAAGTATGGCCTCGATTCCGCCTTGAAGCAAACGGGCCAGAAAACAGCAAGAAAGTCTAGAAAACGGAAAAGTGAAGACACTACCCCTGATTCCGAGCCAGTCGATGCTCCCACACGCAAAAAGGCAAAACGGTTTACTACTCAGGCATCTGAGGAGTTTCTCAGGACTCTTATCACCCCCGATGTTATCGAAGATGCGCACGCTAGTGCTTCTGCACAGGCCATGCCTGAGTTTGGAGAGAGGGACAAAGAGAAGGCGTTCAGACGAATGATAGCTAGTATTCCTGCGGCGGATCTTGCCGAAGCGAAGTCGGACCATAAACGCATAATAATCGCAAGCCGCAAATTCTCGAAAGGTGTGAGAAAGGATGGGACAGGAGGTTATCGCATCCCAGGTATGAGAACAAGCTTGTACCACTATCAATTACTGGGGGCGGCATTCATGCGTGATCGAGAGAACGCATCTTATCCACCCTACGGCGGATTTCTGAGCGACTTCATGGGCTTGGGTAAGACCATTCAAGCACTAGGTGAGTAAAAATCCTTAGGCCTCCCATCATCATACCATGCTAACAAAAGCCTAGCAAACATCGTCGACGGGCGGCCCTCGGACCCAGACGACCCCATCAAAACCACACTGATTGTTGTTCCATCACATTTGGTATCTCATTGGAAAAATCAAATTATCAGACATTGCGATGGTATCAAACTCAAGGAGATCGTCAATTACTGCGCTGGACATAGATTGGATACATTGGACATCGTTGGAAGCCTCCAGGAATACAGTGTCATCATCACCACGTACGACGAGGTGAGAAGGTCATATCCTCAAAGCTGCAAGCCACCAGCGGGGACCGGGACTGAAGATGAATTAATTGCATGGTGGGATCAACATTACGAAGAGCATCTCGGCCCTCTGCATAAGATAAAGTATCACCGGATCATTCTTGATGAGGGGCACACCATCAGAAACCATGGTTCAGCTGTGTCGATGGCTGTCTGTGCTTTGACTGGCACTTACAAGTGGATCCTGAGCGGCACGCCTATACACAACTATATCGACGAACTATTTCCTCAATTTGACTTCCTGGGGGTACCCGGCACCAAAACCCATGAAAAGTTCCTCAGAGACTACTGCCAGGATGACGATGGCCATATGCGCCTGGTCAATCTCATACGATCATTCATGCTCCGCCGAACTCACGCCAGCCGGCTTTTCTCATTTCCTTTGGTCAAACTACCGGATGTTCGTGATGAAGTCATCAAAGCCGAGTTCTGCGATGCTGAACGTGAGCTTTACAATGCCATTGAAGACCTTTTCATCCAGAACATCAATCAACTTGCGAAAAACAAGCACCCGAAGTTGGCTCAATACCGATGTTTCCTGACAATGATATTGATACTCCGCATGTTTTGCAGTCACCTTCTAACAGCTCATGATGTCATCAAGAAACTACTTTCAGAAAGACTTCTTATGGCGAAACTCTCTAGGATGGCTAATGGGCGAGACGGAGAGGACTCCACGTTCATAATAGTACAAAGGCTGATCGCGATCCGCAGCAACCCAACAGTCATCTGCGACAAACGCGAAGAGCATCTGGTCCACTCTCCAAATCTTCAAGGAGATAAGGAGAAGCTAGTAAGGGACTATTATGACTTGATGCTCCAACTTCATGAAAGTGAGCAATGGGACGAACGTCTTAAGAGGAACAGTTGTCCGTACTGCAAGTGTGTTCCCGTCTACCCCGTCATCACATCATGCCATCATCTCTACTGCGAGGAATGCTACAGTTTTCTCTCTGTCAATGTGAGCACAGACGAGGACAAGCCCATTTGCCGTGTCTGCCAAGAACCTATTCAGGAAGCAGCCTATTGTGACGCAGTCGAAGGCTTCGAGCTTACACGGACACAATCCACCCAGAACCCGCAACAAGAGACAGCGGCTCAAAGCAAGAAGAAAAAATCCAAGACGGGCGTGTGGCGAAAGCCTCAGGGTTCATTTCGGCGACCGGCTTACCTGAACTCGGATGAGGAGCCACCTACCGAGCCAGATGCAGACGAGAAAACAGACTGGATAGAAGCATGCGCGAGTCAAATGCCATCGGCCAAACTGACCAAGATCCGAGACTTGGTGGCGAAATGGCTGGCTGAGTCGCCAAGGAACAAGATCGTTATCTTCACTCAATTTCTCGACTTCATCCGCATTTTGGGGAAGATGTGCCAGAGGGAGAAGTGGCCGGCAACTTCGGTAAGGAGTTCATTTCGAACCTGCTTATCCCCCATTCTTCAGAATCACTAACGGTTTATAGTTGACTGGAAAGATGAATCTGGCCAAGCGAGAAGCAAGCATGAAGCAGTTCAGCGACGTGAACGGCAACACGAAGATCATGCTGGCGAGTCTGAAGGCTGGTGGCATAGGGCTGGATCTGACCGCGGCGAACAAGTGCATTCTGGTCGATTTGTGGTGGAACGATGCCGTCCAGGATCAGGTACGGACACCACGCCCGGGTCTATCAGTTCTGCGAGGAAGAGGAATATGGGTTGCTAATTCTATCCCAGGCTTTCTGCCGGGTGTGGCGCATTGGCCAAACTCAAGAGGTGGAATACAAGAAGATCATCGTCAGTGAAACCATCGATGACTATCTTCTCCGGCTTCAATCAGAGAAACTGGCGTCGATCGATCAGACCATCGGCGACGAAAAGCTCAAGAGCCGCGACACAATGGCAGAACTGCTCAACATGTTTGCAGATGTCGAGGTTGATCCAAACGGCGCCTTCAGATTAACTCGCAAACCCAAGAAGTCGAATGCGTCCTCGAAGCCAGACGGCAAGAGAAAGGAGAAGCAGAGCGATCCCCTGGAGTCGGAGTCGGTCCCCGCTGAGTCCTGAATTCGAATCTCCTTCTTTCTTCCGGTCAACACTGATTCCTTACCATATACAAAACAAATCTGGAATTTCTCTTCATTTGTGCTATCTCATTTGTGATACCCTTCAAGTTATCGGTCCTACATAGTCCTTTTTAGGAGAAACCAGTATATCTAAATAAGTACTAAAACGTCAGGCTATGCTTCTATGTTTCCAAAAGCTTCGAGACCTTCGGACAGCAATAAGTACCCAAACTCTAAACAAATCTTTATCTAAGAGCTATAACCACCGGAAAATAGCTGTTCATAAAGCCAAACTAGCTTGAACTCTTCGACTTGGCTATCGTATCATCGAACCCCTCCGAGGAACTGGCCAAGTCACCGTCCGAAACCAAAAAAGGAAGGCTGGGATTCGTGACCAGCAAAGCCAGACCCGTCACGGACAACTCCTCCAGATCCGTGCTCCCGTCCCGCCTGAGATCGGTGGCGCCAGGCTCGTACTTAAGGTGGCAGAGGGTCTCGTCGATCAACGTCCCATGTCCCGAGGCGTGCAGGATATTCCCCACCGCCGCATGCACCGCGAGCAGGGCCCTGTTCGGCGCGTCCGCGCCGTGCCGGTCAATCGTCACGGATTCGGGCACAAAGGACCGCAGGAAGGACTCTCTGATCCTCAGGAACATCTTGGTCCGGAACCGAGCCGGGGTCGCCTCCTCCGTTTCTTCGAGGATGAGGGCAGAGCGACGGAATTCCATCCGTGCCACGGCCATCAGCATCAGGACGTCCTCCGCACGAGGAGTCCCCTCGTGATGCTCGTGATGGAACCCGCCATCCTCATCCCGCATCGCCGGGAAATACCGGTGGAGACACTGCCAGACCGCTGCGGCGTGGTAGCGGTCGTCGTCCCGGAATCTCCTTCGCTCGAGGCCAAGGCCAAACGGGAGGATCGGCGTGGCTTCTAACGAGCCGTAATGTTAGGTGGCTGGCTTGTCCTAGCAAACGCAATCCCAGAGCCCGGTGATGAGACACCGATGGTGGTCGCGCTGGAGGCACGTGCGGCGCAGCTGCTCGTCGGCCAGATCCGTCGTGGAGTCGTCGTCGTCGTCGTCGTCCTCGACTCCAGGATGTGGACATGGGGAGGGCGCGGTTGCGGGCGTGGTGCGGCCGCCGGTGGTCAGCATCGGCCGGAGGAGAGCCCTATCGATGTACTGGGCTAGCTGTGAGAGCTCTCCATCGTCCGCGCAGCGGGCCACGTCGCGAGCGAGTTGCAGCTGGCATTCGGCGGGGAGATACCTGAACACGGAGTGGAGGAAGTGGACAGTGTCATCGTGCGAGTTCGATGCGCGATACCGCTCAAGCCGGGCGGTCATCTGGAGCTGGGCAGTAGTGGAGGCGTCGCGTTCTAGACGGTTTGAAGACTGTGAGGGGAGGGGGGGGGAATTCCATGCTGAAGGTCTCGGTAGAGATAGACCAAATGAGAGGTAGATGTGTACTACAGAGGAGTCCCACGGTTAGTGTAAAAGGGTCGTGCCGAGGTGACTCAGACTAATGGAATGAATCATTAGGTAGGTCTGGTGAAGATTGACAACTAGGGTGGATGAGAGATGAAGTGCGCCGAGTTACGTATGTATTACTAGTATGTAGACTACATCGTAGAGGGCGCCAGCCCCCACACTTCACCTCACGCACTTCCTACGTAGAACCTATACATTTGAAGATATTTTTGTACTATAGAGCCCCTTAAATCATGTCAGGAGATAGAGCTACATTACTATCCAACCTGTAAAGCAAGATACTTTATCAGGTCGATTATACTTTTATATATGCTGCAAAAGGCCTCAGTTGTTTGCTTGCTCATACATATGCTTATGGACTTGATATTGTATGATCTTTGTAAAGGATGTTGGTGTTTGGGTAAGAAACACGTTGTGTAGGAGTCTTGAAGTCACGTATTGAAGTGAAAGGATCACATTAGCTATAGAGCTCTTAAGCTTCAGAATACAATACAAACCAGTCATCAAACAATAACCCCGGTATTCGCCTGCAATCCGAAACAATGCATAGAGAGTACTCAAACATGGAAACATTCAAGCAAAGCGATCAACACCATAGGCATTCCCAGCTTTTCGTCTCGTCCCATTTCATCCTTCATTAGGGCTGGGATCCCGCAGAAACATAAACACTTACACACAGAGTTCATCTACAAGCCCAAGCAAGCAAGCATAGCCTACAGTCTTCTCGTACCACGGCGTACCTTTTTGCCTCCCGCAGCCGCATCATTCTGTGCCTGTGTCTGCTGCAGTATCTGACCCCCCTGCATCTGCTCCTCCCGCTGCCTCGCCACCGAGAGCGCAAGCGCAGCCATCTCCGACGCTGTCAGGCTCTGCGAGGACCAGGGTAGCCAGAGGCCACTCGCATCTGGCGTGACCTGATCGTGCTCTGCGAAGTCAAACTCGGGAGGAGGGTTGATAGTAATTTCGTCGACTGGAACCAGTTCAGCGGGGTCTGTGCCATCATCCATAGGCAGCTCTTGGCTCGTGTGCACTACCGAGAAAGGAGCCACGAGGTCCGGGACGTGCGTCCACGGTCCGACGGTAGCCTCGGGCTCGTCGAAAAACGCTGCATATGAGGTGCTGGCATCGCCTGTGATGGGGGTGAGGATGGTGGTGAGGTTGGCGTTGGCATCCCAGTTGAAGGCATTTGTGTCCATGGAATAATGGGTGGTGGGCGTGCTGGAGAGACTGTTCTCGGGGGCGGGGAACATGGTGATGTTCTCGAGATCGAGCTCGAGATCCATCTCCATGTTCATGTCTGCGTCCGTGTCCAGGTTGGTGTTGAGGGTGAGGTCATGGGTCTCGATGATGTGGGTGTTGCCGTTACGGGTGCTGCTGTCTTCGTGTTGACTCTCCCCTCCTCCTCCTTCCTCTGCGGGCTCACCATTCCAAATTCCCTCGTCGATATTCTCCTTGTCTTCGTCCGATGGAGCGAAGACGTTCACTCTGATCTCTTGGAATTGAATCTCGATGTCGTCGGGGTCTTCGTAGATGGGGAAACCTGTTCTTGAGAAAGAATGATGGTAATGATGATGATTCTGGTAATTGTCCTGGGTCTCTGCTGCTGCGCAAGGCTCAATATCAGTGGAGAGATAGTTCAGGGGATACTCTGAGCTGAGAATGGGAATGTAAGTACGATACGTGTGTCTCAAGGAGGAGGAGGAGTAGGAGGCCGGTGGTGGGATAGCACAGTCGGCTGTGTCTGCCGTTTCGCCAGCAGCAATTCCCACTGTACCATTCAAAGGTGAAGAAACTGAGAATGTGCTTGGAAGGCTACTTGGCTCGTCCACTTCATGGACCATGGCCAGGTCAACATCCATGTGCTGTCCTTCCGTTGAGCCGGCGGCCCTTGCGTGCGAGAACTTCATTGGATCGAGGAGAGAGGCAGCACATGCAAAGCTGGGCAGGGTCAAGGCTGCTTCGAGAGCGTCCGAACTGTTCCGCTCGGTCTTCCGCTTCTTGTCGTAATGACGGCGTGGAGGGGGGCTTGCGTTCTTGTTTTCGCAGTTTCTCGGTTTGCCGTCGTCAAGATCCTCCGCCTCTCCGCGCTGCGCGAATGTGCGGACTTTGACATTGGGAGAAGAGGATCGCTTCGTATTATACGGAGGAGTGATCATTTTGACGCCGTGGTTCGTGGTTGGCCGGGTCTGATTTCGTGAGGTGTCAGTATATTCAGAGTCACGGAAGGTTCAAATTGAGAAAGTATGCGCAGTCAAGGGTGATTTTAATGGACTACCAGGATACAGGTGCAACTCACAGTGTCCATGGTTTCAGTACACTTATACAGATGCTTTCTGCTCGCGTTTTGGTTCTCAAGCAGGCAGACGCCACTTTGTATCATATCCAGCTGTTCGTTCTTGGAGGCCGTCAAGTTCAACTCAGTCCTGGTGAATGCGAATAGAGAAGAGTAACCTCTTAATGTGGATGCAGATCTGAAGATATAGACACTCCAAGATTATGAGACACAGATCCTAGCGTCCCTATTGCGGTGAGAATAGAGGAAATACTGTACTTTGCCGCTCCTCGTCACGCCGGAGAACCAGTCAAACGAGGCTGGCGATAGCGATGAGATAGCGATGACGAATCGTCTCATCCCTGTAGGAACCTAATCAATGAGGCAAGAGCAGAGACCGAGTCAGAAAGCTGCCATCGCCGGCAAAAGGCTTGTTGACGGTGGAGTCAGAGAGGGATTCCAGGGAAGGATGGAGTGGAGGGGAGGGAGAAGGAGGGAATTCGCAACAGGAAAGCGGGCCAATCTATAAGAGGCAAAGCCAAAGCGCGCAGGCTCATGATTCATTGCATAAACTCCCAATGTCAACTAGATCATTGAGATGTTTCTCTGTTGAATGTGTCCTACTATACCTACACTTTTCCTACAACCGATCTACAATCAAGGAACCACGGTCGAACAATAGAACTTCATTGGAGCCATCACGCCTTCTAGAAATCCAGGCGCATTGGTGATGGCGTAAGGTCATTTATCTGTTAAAGATAAGACCTAGTATCCGCCTATTGCTCTCGATTTTGTCATTTATTTGGATGGGGTTGTCCCGCAAAGGAGAGAATCCAGTGGTGATACAGTCTCTCAGTACTCGTCACAGAGCCGATACCCTGTCAGCATGCCTTCCACACCCACATCTGCCATGCATCCAGCTAGAAGCAAAATAAATAGGTAAGAAACAGATACAGGCAAGGCCCATGTATCAAGATAGCATAGCAAGGGGGGATTGGCGGGCGCCGGCAAGATATGGACGAATATGTGTTCGAGATATCCTCCATTACCTAGAACTAGGACGAGCAATCGGGCACCCCCACTGCCCGATACGCTTATCTGAACTGTCCAGGTCCAATCATGCCACCTCGGACGTCACCGCCAACTTGACCGAACATATCCAACAGGTGTCGAGATGAAGGTGGAGGGCCTTGTGGTGGCGGGCCGCCTTCGAAAGGAGGCTGTCCGCGAGGTCCAAGTCCCATCATAACATCGCCGTTATGTGGCATGGGCGGAAATGAGGGTGGGGGGCCGTTCATGTAACCAGGGGGAGGCATCATCCCGGGAGGCGGAGGAAAGCCGGCCGAACCACCGCCATTGGCGCGCGGGAAAGGCTCACGCTCGTTGAGAGGAGGAGCACTCCCGTGCATTGGCATCATGTTTGCCATGTAAGTCGGGTTTACACCACGTGTAGGAGTTGGGATACCTGGGGGAGGGGCCAGAGGCGCCGGTCCACCAGCAGGCTGCGGGGGCATTTGAGGGCCCGCCCATCCAGGAGGCGGCATATGTTCAAAGCCTGGAGGTCTTTGCATACCCATAGGAGGATGTCCTTGACCGTGAGGAGCCCTGGTTCCACCGGGCGTGATGGGGACTTGGCCACCAGGAGGAAAAGGGATGTCATCAAAGTATCCCATCGGAGGCCCATTCACAGGCCGTCTCCGAAGGTGTTCAGCGTCAGGTCTCTGGATATTCGCAATCGCTGGATCATCCAGAAAGTTGGGGCCCTTTTGAACAGGAGGTATACCAGGGGGAGGAGACAGTACATCCGGCATGTTCATCATACCGGGCACCGGACCGGCACTCTGTGGCTGATTTTGGCCACCCGGAGCATGGCCATTTACAGGAGTGACGCGAACTTGCTGCATCAGTCGCAGAAGGTGCTCTCTGTCACGAGCCTGAGTTTCCGGGGGGTATGGATTTTCCTTGAATGGAGGGCCAGCGGCTCGAGACGGCGTCTCCAGCATAGCCAGATACTCCTGTCGCTTGATATGTTCCCGAGCAGGCGAAGAGACGGCGCTCTGAACCTGTTCCGCCTGCACCAAGGAGGGAGGCCGATTAGCAGGCATAGTATCATTATGTGGTGTCCCGTTACGCGATTTTCCGCCTCCAAGCATGAGCAGAATACGTTGAAATCCTTCTTGGTCGGCATCAGTGGAACCAGCAGGCGTCAGAGCTGGAGACCTGGTATCAGGTTGAGGTTCTGGGTCTCTCGCAGGGCTTCCTGGCGGAGGACTGAAGAGCCCAGCAAACCGAGACGACTTCATGGCTTTAGCAGCTTGGGCCTCCTTCTTCGGAGTTGCCTCCACTTGCACAGGCGGAGCGCTGACCTCCGGCGCAGGCGCAGGCGCAGGCTTGGATTCGCTCAGCAATCCAAAGAAACGCTCCATGGCTGAGTCCTGCTGGAAGGGGGTGCCATTACTGCTGAAAATCTCCCCATCGGTAGGTCGAGTATCAGGCTGCTGAGGGGGTGCAACTTCAGCGTCGACAGGAATCTCGTGGTTGTCCGTTGCATGAGGCTGAGATCCGGCTTTCATTCGCTCCTTCCAACGCTCAAAGTCCTCCTGTGTATGCACTCTCCGATACTCATCCTTATCATTGGTGTCTAGCCATTCAGGCTCCTGCTCAAGTTTGGCACCGCGGGTCCAATCGCGATCAGCACCGTGTCGATCCCGACGCCATTCTCGGTTACGGACCGGGGTCTTGTCCTCCTCGGCTTCGGGGGTCTCGTGGGGAGCGTTGTCCTCTCGGAACCAGCTTCCTTCATGCCTAGCGCGCCCGGGTGTACCGTCCTTGCGAAGGGTGAACCGGGTATCCTTGCTGTCTCTCACAGTCCGATCATGAGTCGGCTCGCGTTGGTCGCGATTATCCCATCGGTCGAACTCTCCATTACGTCTGGGCTTGCGGTCCTGTTCATCCGGGCCAAACGTGCGACGGGGACGTCCATTAATCCAGTCTTCCTTGTCCCCGCGCCGAGCATTGAACGCGCCCATCTTTCCATCGCGTCGATCGAAATCTCTGTCGTTGGGATCCCGTTCCTTGAAGAACTTGTCTCGAAAGGCAAAGCGATCGGTTTTCAGGTCTTCGGAATCGTGCGGCCTGGATGACCTATCCGTGGAATCTATGGATCCCTTACCAGCGATGCGAGAGGCAGAGGCGAAAGCGGTTTTAGGAGGCCCGAGAATGATATCCTCTGCGATGCAGCAGCAAATGCTCGTATTAGTAATGGCCGTGATACATTCCGTCTCGGCTAGTAGACAGTGTGTTTTTTACCTGAGTTCGAGTTCCGGGACATGTGACGGGTATCGAAGAGGCTCGGCCGTCTAGGTGTAGTCTCATTGGGATTGGTAGATTCTCGCGCATTTGAGGTTTTCCGTTGTGTGGATGGGTCGGGGATGGGGCTAGAAGTAGAATGTGTCAGCTTCATGATGGCCTATGGCCTGGGTCATTTTAAGAGGAGGGGGGGATCATCAAGGTGCCATACCCCATCCATTCGTCTACTGGCGGCAGTGTAGGAGGCCGAACAACCAGAGGCGATCCGCGCAGCCATAGCAGCTCATCGATATGATAACGTCGTGCCATGAGGATGGCTAGGGGGAGAGTGTGTGATGCTATCCGGAGGTTGCGTTTACAACGATTTCATTGGTTGTCGGCGGGAGTGATGATGGGTAGGTAGCGATAATGGATAGATATGATAAGAGTGAAGCACGGAGAGGGAAAGAGGTAATTTGAGCGTATGTTAGAGCTGAAGAGGAGCTGGGATTGAATGCGAAAGGTGCGTAGGAAGATCAAACGAGCCAAAGATGGCAGGCCGCTTGCCAGTGGCAAGGCCGAAAGGCGGAGGGAGCTTCGATCGGTCCAAGAGTCAAGCAACTGGTTTGGGGGGGGGGGGGGAGGAAGCGGATGAGGGGCACCACAACAGTTGGAAAATTTTCCACGAAGAACTCTCTCGGGAATGATAGTAGGATCAAAGTCAGGGAGTGAATCGGATATAGAAATGAAGCAGGAGGCTGCAGGAACAATGTGAGGGTACGGGGGGACGTATGAACGGGGCGGGCGGATTTGGAGGAGGGAGGAAGAGGAGAAGGAGAGAGAGGAGAGGCAGTTCAGGTTCAGGTGAAAGGGTAGGTAACTTACTAGTTAGTGGAAGTTCCAAGTTGCGGTGCGGGCAGGCAAAAGATCGAGGCGAAGTTTACCGCAAAAACGTGTGCATTACCCAATCAGGTAACTCGCCTGACTCTCTCCCCCCCGGACTCAATCAATCAATCAATAATTATTCCAAACTACGAGTAAACACCACATCCCAAAGTGAAAGTGATAATTTGGCACTTATTCATCTCCAATACAAGCTAAATTAATAAACTGCTCGACTAAAAGTACAATGCTCTTCAATGATTGTGATGATTGTGCTGTTATTCTGATCATTTACTACAATCCCCGTTTGCCTCGGCTCCCTGCACCATGGCGCAGAGCAACTGATTCTCCCTGAACTCCATCCATGAGGGGTAGATATGATGACATGGTGCAGGGCTAGTTGTCTCTCGTATCGAGTTTCACCTGTTACCTCAAATCTATCGCCTAGCTCTGACCAAGAGGCGTTGAGCTTACGATCATCTCCAGGTTGCACTAGTATACCACCTCAACCGAGCGCCAATTGGATTCCAACACATGTCTATCGAAGCATATACAACTATTATGATATCCCAACAGTAGCCCCTTAACCCACAATGTTCTCAACCGCTTTCAGCACGGCACCTCCACTCCATTTTTCCACCCGGTCGCTGTCAGAGGTTCGCTGCAGGCTGTGGGCAATCGCCGTGAACGTGGGCGTCTCTTTAGCCGTCACGGCTGGGATCTGACTCTGAATCCAGCTCATAATGCCCGCCCTCGTAATCAGCGTCGTACTACCCTGCACTTGGGCTGTGCGATAAAGAAGTTGCAGGATCTTTCTCTTGACCGAGTGGGCTGCACTTGGTGCTTCATAATATGAGAGGGATCGTTCAAAGACGTTGGCCCGGCGATAGATATCCATGTCCTGATGTTTTTCGTGAGCGCATGTTCAAGCAAAGGTGAAATCAGCGACGTAACAACATACCACTTCAGTGCGGAGACCTTTGATGAGTAGATCGAATAGCCACCCAGTCTCTTCAAAGTAGCCATCATCGAGCTCAGGCTCATGCAACAAGATCTTGTCAATCCAGAAAGAGGGAATCTTCTCTAGCTCCCAAGAAGGCGCTTTCTGCAGGAACTTGTTGACCTTCCCATACAGTTTGTGCATTGGGTTGGTCAGGACATCGAGACAGCTAGAGGCACATTCTCCTACAATCCACGGCACAGGAGACTCGAGACCAATTTGTTTGACGGTTTCGAGAAGCTCACCCGTGAGGATGTAAACGGATCGCCATTCGACATATTTGGAGTCCTATGGTAGCAGCCAATCAGTCAAGGCCTGTAGCATTATCGATACAATGGAAATAGACATACCTTAAGCTTCGCCATAAAGCGAGTCACATTCGCAAATGCCTGTCTGCGGACTTCTTCGTGCGCTGAGCATAGGCAGAGCATCAATTCCGCAATACGACCCTGTTCGATTGCCACGTCGATTTCATCCTTCTCCCATCGGTAGAGTTCGTTGTGAGTGGTGCCCTCGACGGGCAATGTGCCAAAGATCTCATCCAAGTCCACCTCCGGTTGCCCACTGGTTTCGGTGGCTATTTTATCTTGCGTAGATGGACGGACTTCCCCGGAATTGTCATTTTCCGGCTCTTCGCTCTCTTTCCACGCCTTCCTCAAAGCCGACTTGGATTTCTTGTTCTCGGTCCCGTCCATCAACGTGTCTCGAGCGGTTTTCAAGGCTTTGGGGTCTTCCCCAGCGCGTTTCAAGCTCGCGAGCAGGTTGGCAACCCAAGCACTCACGGCGAGTTCCACGGCTTTATCGCCAGCCTTCACCACGAACGGCCACTGCTCGAGAACAGCAGCCAATATGAGACTCACCGGCTTCGACACCTCTGGGAATGAGGTTTCAAGTAGGTCTTGATAATGGACAGGCTTCTTTGCAATACGGCAAACACAATTATCAAAGAAAGACAATTGCTGCTGAAGCTTGTCCAGGTCGGTAGTCTCAAAGCTAGATAAGATGGACGGAAAGATGGAGTCATTCTGAATAATCGAATACTCATTGAGTACCTTTCGGAGTAGACTGTCAATCTCCCTCAAGGACTCTCGTGACGAGGCTTGGACTAGAACTTTCAAGATGGAGGTGAAAGCCGAATATTGCATAGATGCTACAGAATTCAGCAGTTGACCATGAGTATAACACTGACTTGACTTACCAGGCTGTTGCCACCAGCGCATTGATGAAGATTGCTGGGTGATCTTGAGCAGATTTTGCAATTCACTCAACAAAAGTTCGGTGTCGTCTGCATCAAGATTCTGCTCGTCTAGTTTCTTCAGGATGTCAACCATGACCAATGAAACATCAAATCCTTCTTCCAACGCAGCATCTGGAACGATCTCATAATAGCATGCAAGAAGCTCCGATACCGCCTCTTGTTGCTGTAGATCTTCCTTGGCTGTTCTCTTGAACAAGACGATGACCTCCTTGACAGCCGGGCACCTCCGGCAGAACTCAGCAATCAGTTTGCTGGCCGCCTGCATCCAAAGCGACTGGCTGACGCCATGGTCAGAGTTGAAAATCTTCAAGACAGCCCGCAGTTTGTTGAAGGCGATCGTAAGGATTCTCACGGCGAAGAGTGTGACGATCTCCGTGTTCATGTTCAGGCAGCGACTCAGAATCTTCTGTGAGAGAGGACGAGGGAGAACGTTCTCGATGACCACCGAGACTGGCGGTGGCATCGGAGGTGATTTTTCCTTGTAACCACAATTTGAAGGAACTGGAAGTTGGACAGTGGAGAACAGAAGGGCAGACTCCGCCATCCAGGAGGGAGTAGGTTTGGGGTCCGCGATAAACATGGTCTTCTTAGTGAAAAAGTCAGCTACCAGCTCTGGTGCCGCTTTAAAGATAGCAACGAGAAGCTCGATCTGAAGACTATCTGCATCCGGACGGAGAGCCTGGATCAGATAAGACAGTGTTCCATTACGCACAGGCACAGTCTTGTTATACTTGTCGAGATAGACTGCTGAATCCAGGCCGAGATCAATCAGGGTATCGTCGTCCGTCGGCAAGGTTTCAGGGTCGCTGCCAGTGGGGTACCAACCGGTTTCAGGCAGCAGAACGCCAAGATCAGAATTCGTGCAAATGTTCATCAAGATCTTGTGAACCTCATTCGCCGTTGAAACGCCAGTTGGGTTGGGCTCCTCTGACTCGCGGTCATAGCCATACAGGGTCACAAGTCGCTCAAGGTTCCATCGGCTGAAGAACTTCGTCTTGGCGTGGCGAGGGATGGCCGTATCGCGAATGACATCTCTTTCGATGGATTGGAGGATTTCAAGAACAATATCCCGGGGATCTTTCCTGATATATTCGAAGAATGCTCTGATCACCTTGTGCTGTTCAATGATATCACTTTTGGAGTTGGCGTGCTGGAACTTGAAATTCGCGAGGACATATTTTTGAGCGTTCCTTCGCAATGTAGACTTGTGTCCATCCTCGGCCATTTCTTCCAACTGAGCCTTGTTCGGGGTCAGGAAGAATTCGATGCGTTTGAACGTCACGTGCCGCGCCTGGTAGACCTGGCGAGCGACAGCACCTCCGTCGAAGGTAACCATTTCCGTCAAGAGACGCAGGCAGGGAGAGATGAGATGCTCCTTTGATTTGACCGCAGTCAAGCCGCGGTTGAACAGCTTCAGCTGCTCCTTTTGCAAGAGATACTTGCATAATGCTACGCCGAAGTCCCGAAACTCCAGATTGGTGGAGATGGTCTTGAAGAATTGAGCGAGGACAGCAGGAACCGTGGTCAGTAACGACTCGTTGTTGTTGCTATCGGCAAACCCCCAGGTCTGGACCAGGTCCGGGAAGCAGACGGCCTCATTTTCATTAGTCTGCGAGAACTGCGAATCACAGTACGCTTTGAGAATGCGGAACTTTTTGGCTTTCTCGGCCTCGTTCTCTGCCTGCACGATAGAAGTGAGAAAGTCCTTGAATTTTCGTAGTCCTATTCATGTTGTCAACATTCACGTTCCGCTGATCATTGGAGGTGAGGTACCTTGCTTAGATTCGGCAGGGTTTTGCTGAAAGGTCAGTGCAGTTCGGAGTTGAGTGTGAGAGGTAATGGTGACAGGAATTTCTTCGCCCTCCAGAGCACTGTCCAACTTTCTCCTCTTGTTTCTAGAGAATTGGTTGTCGTGGGACGACATTGTGAATTGATTTGGATGAATGCAAAGACGAAAGAAATCACCACCGGAACTGGAGAACTCGAAGATATCACTGCAGTAACTGCCAGAGAACTGCCTCTCCGTCGCCCGGCCAGCTTCAGAGTTTTGCGGCTTCTGATTGGACGGTAAATATGGCACTGAGAGCTGGAATTTAGACGGTACCTAGTAGATGAAATTCAACCCAACACTGTCAACGCAGTGCAGATTAGCAAAGGTGGTAAGAGATTGTTGTTACCTTAGCAGGCAGTACTCCAAGAGTTGAGTTAAATCAATGAAGTATGACAAGGTCACGGGTATGATAATTGATTGACGGGATACCAACCTTGAACACCAACTGGAGTGTTCCTCGGCACTACCGTCGCAGCCATAAAAAGTCCTGCCAAAACCGGAAGTCGCGCTAGAACTACCCGCCAGTTTTTGATTGGTCTGTGCTCTCTAGCATATGAAGTATTCCAGTTGTGTTTGGACTGAGGTAGGTCCACAGACTCCCGAGTCAGTATAGTACCTAGTACCTACCTAGTAACTTACTACGTACTAGGTAGGGAGTACAATACATCTGAATCAATAGATAGATATTTACTTGTCGACCGATCTACGTATCCAGTCCTCAAAAGTCCGTTTGACACATATTCCGCAGCAAGCATTGAGTACGATGTAGAGCATTTATCATAACACATGAGAGCTCGTGGCCGCAATTTACAGTAACTCCCCAGCCAGAAGAATTGTCACCACCAAGATACACAAAGACGCATTCAATCTATCTCAATGCCGCCCTACAAGGCCGACTAATCCTTTCCCACATCAACTCCGGCCTCACCATCAAGCCCTACAAACCACCACGAGTCAGCCTCTTTCCTCGCACATCACAGCCACAAGCAGAGAGAACGGGGGAGAGGGGAATCATACATCAAGATCCTCGAAGCCCACAAGCGACAACACCAGCCGATTCCGGCTCGGCAGCGTGACCTGCCGCCTCTGCACCTTGCCCTCTAGTTGCAGCAAGGAAGCCATCTCGGCTCGATGGCAGACGACGAAGCTGCTGTTTGGGTCCAGCTCGTGCAGCTCCACCCAGTATTCACCGGTGTACATGAAGCCGTCGTTGAGCGTCGTGCGGGATTGCTTCTTCTGCCTCTGCTTGTTGGTCGCGGGTATGAGGTGCACGGACATGCACCCGTCCGGGTGGTAGGTGAGGATCCCTCGTGCGTCGGGTTCCATGGGATGCAGGGAGGGGCCCTTGCCGTCGTAGGGGTCGGAGAAGTACTCGAGGAGGGACCAGGAGCCCACGAGCGCTTGTTCGATGTCATGCTGGGTGTACATCTTTGGGGTGGAGGGAGCGGTGGAGGGAGGGGAAGACGACGATGTTGACAATGAGCAAGACATATTTCTGGTCTCGGCGGAAGAGCTGTGGTATATGAAGAAGACAGTGCTGGCATCTTGGACTGGGAAGGAAGTGAGTTGATTTTGTAGTGGATCGATCGAGACCGGAAGATTGTGTGTATAGTGTACAGCAGCACAGTAGACTCGATCGGGGAGAAGGTGGCCGGCCCTGAGTGAATGTGAGTGACTCGTGCATTTGCTCTTCGGTCTGGTCTTGTCTGGCGATAAGTGTCGGTCGGGGTCGAGGTGATACGAATACTGTAAGCTACTAATCTTCCCTGTTCCCCGTGATAAAGTCTAATGACTCGGGGTCTTCTTCCACGGACGGACAGTCAATTAGGCCTGCTTCAGTCACCGGATGAGCCTCGGGATCGAGAGGAACGCTGAACCTTGATCCCGGAAGGCTGGCTTCCCGTTGGTGGGAAGACATCACCGGCGGTGGTTGTGTATACTTCGTGTGTACAGGGATCATAGACGAGGCATAGATGAGAGATCCGGAGTCGTGACCGATCTGGTAGGAGTTCTTTCCATCATTATCGCCTCTTAGGAGACACGGCAGCGATGGCATGTGGCTTGAAGTATACTATAGTTAACGAAACGCAACGAACGCCGATCGGTCAAATCACCTACTGAAATCAGTACTGGAATTAGTTTCAACCTCTAAGTTATAGTATAGTGGTAAAAGAAAGAGACTCGAAGAGTTGCAACTAGACCACCAATCCCAAGGGGCGCCTCGGCAACACTTTTAGCCAGTAGGAGCCTCTGGTAGCATAGTCCTTCCTACGTTGAAACATGTCAACAGCGCGCGTTTCGTCGGTTTCTGGGTATTTCTGTACATTTTTGGCAGGATTAGCGTACAGGAAACAAGAGCCCAGGAGTGATGACGGTCAGTGCTAGTCCAGACCCAACACGATCATGACTGATATCTTTCTCCAAGCATAGTTGAATGTCCCCCACACGGAGTGTCCCCAGCAAAGATAATACTGCGAGATGGGACACTCAGATGAGTTTTCTAAAGTATATAACACCACAGACATGAATCGTGGAAATTGCAGCTTGGCTCGAATATAACTCGTAGAACCACTCATCATCAGATTTCGGGGTCGATCCGACAGGGAGTGGACCGGTGCTCTAGCCATCTGCAGAGTAAAATGTTTTGTAGATCATGACTCTCATAGTATTACATTTTATGACCCGCAACAAGAAAGACAGTATTGTTTTTATCACAAATTCACGAGGGGTATGCGTTGGGAACCTTGCCATATACATGCCTGAAGAATAAGAAAATATAAAGTCTAAACCAGCACCAAACAGAATCACTAACCCCACGTTCCACCACCACCACCTCTGCCTTGGCGTCTCTGTGCAGATAGACGCCAATCGTCTTCTCCGGCGAAGCGATTGTGCAGAGGCTGGATGCGCTCGGCCTTCTTGCGCTTCGAGAGTCGATCCGTCGGCGCAACCTTGAAGAACGTCGGCGCGGCCTCGACCAGCCACTTGGGTTCGATGGATGTGGTGCAATGCATGTACTCCTTCGTCGTAAGGACCAACGTGTGGTAGATGACGTGCTCAGAAGGTTTTCCGAACAGCGCGGAGCTGGGGTGCATGTAGACTGGGGTGCCTTCGACTAGAGTCTTGTAGCCCTCCTGAGGATCTTTACGAGCCGCGTTGCGGAAGAAGCCCGTACACAACGCCTGACGGACCTTGGTGGTGTTCCGGCCACAGGACACGATCTTATGATGGTACCGATCCATGATGCCCATCAACTGCTGACGGACATCCTGAGCACGACGGATCTGACGCGCTTGAATGAAGTTCTCAAAGCACCATGCGTTGTTGAATTTCGAGTTCTTCCATGCATTGTAAACATTGAGAAGAGTCAAGTGGTCACCGTGCGGGTCGTGAAATTTGGCCTTCTTCTGATCGGCCTGCTGCTGTTTCTCCTTTGGACGATAGAACACTGACTGGATGGACAACATGGCGACAATGCTTAGCATTTCTTCCGAGCACCCCATGTCGACCGAGGAAATCAAGACCTTGGCGAGAGCCGGCTCCATAGGGAAGTCCGCCATCTTCCTGCCCAGGCGAGTTAAGAGACCCTCGTCATCCAGTGCAGAGAGCGCGTATAGTTCTTCCAAGGCAGTAAGCATAGTGTTCGTCGGTGGAGGATCCATGAAATCAAAGTGCAGAAGATCGTTAATGCCCATTGCCTTGAGCATGAGAATGGTGTGGGAGAGATTCTGGCGTTGGATTTCAGGAATCGTGGTAGGCAACATCTCGGATTGGTAGGCCGCTTCAGTGTAAAGACGGAAGCATTTGCCTGGACCGGTTCTTCCTGCACGACCAGCTCGTTGCTTGGCTTGCGCCTGTGAGATAGGGGTGACAACCAGCGAGTCCATACCGAGCTTGGGATCGTAGGCATTTTGCTTCACAAAACCAGGATCGATAACATAGTAGATGTTGTCGATGGTGATAGAGGTCTCGGCGATATTCGTCGCGATGACAACCTTTCTGCCACCTGGAGGTGCAGGTTCGAAAATACGACTTTGCATCTCACTTGGCAGAGCGGAGTACACAGGGAGAATGACAAGCTCGGGGACGCTTGATCCCAGGGCTTTCATCCGCTCGTACAGAATCTCGCAAGCTGTGTCAATTTCTTCTTGGCCTGTTAAGAAGAGAAGAATATCACCCGAATGTTCCGTCAAGTGAATCTGCATGACTGTAATCAAGGCTGCATCGAGATAGTCGGACTCGGGCTCCTTGGAGTACATGATCTCGACCGGGAATGTACGACCCGGGATAGAAAATATCGGACAGCCGTTGAAGTATTCCGAGAACTTTTCTGCGTCCAAAGTGGCGGAGGTGACGATAAGCCGGAGATCGGGGCGTCGCTTGATTGTCTTCTTGAGCAGGCCGAAAAGAACGTCCGTGGCAATGGTTCGCTCGTGGGCCTCATCCAGCATAATCACAGAGTATCTCTTCAGTTCCGGGTCAAGAAGAATCTCTCTCTGAAGCATACCGTCGGTCATGTACTTGATCTTCGTCTCCGGACTAGTACAATCCTCGAAGCGAATCGTGTATCCAACCTCCGCACCAAGCTTACAGCCAACCTCTTCCGCGACACGCTTGGCAACAGACATGGCAGCTACTCGGCGAGGCTGCGTACAGCCGATAATACCATTGTTTGCGTATCCACCTTCGGCCAGGTACTGCGTCAGCTGTGTCGTCTTTCCGGACCCAGTGTCACCAACGACAATCAACAACTGGTTGTCACGAACAGCATCGAGCAACTGCTTGCGGAACTTGTAGACTGGCAAGCTCTCCCGCTGCTCCTTGATAGACATGCTGGTCCGTTTTCCGAAAGACACGTTCTTTCCCATCGTAACTCTCTTCCATTCGGGTACAGCCTCGTCGGGTTTCGCTTGCTGGGCATTCCGAAGATCAGCAGCGAACCTGCGCTCCTCCGGCGCCACCATCGGGTCTTGCCATTGTGCATTGAGATCAACATTAGCTGCTTGTTCCGCCGCTTTGTCCTGGGCTTCCTGCTGTCTGAGCTCCCTTCTGTCCTTTGCCAGGTTTGTGCCTGCCATTGCGGCTCGATTCATGGAGCCGTCCGGTGCCTTGACGACTCGAATGGGGGACAGCTCCAGTGACATCTTAGTCTGGCCCGCCAGGAATGGCGGCTCCTCATCGCGAACCTCGATATCAACATCCTCTTCTTCCTCAAATGTGCCTTCTCCGGTCAAAGTGGCATGATACTCTTCATCAATGTCAGGGTAATCGAGCGCTGAAACGGCCCCGGAAGCAATAAGTTGTTTGATCTCCCATCTTTCAGGGGACGTCAAACGCTTCCGGTTCTTCATAGGCCTGCCGTCTGAGTCCTCGATGATAGGCACATCCGAGCTCAAGTTACCATATCTGTCGTCGTCGCCAGTACCATCAAGGCGTTCCATATTGGCCCCTGACGCTAGACGCCGTTGAGGAATCAGGTCCATGCCAGTGACCTGGTCCACCTCCTTCATGGACAGGCCAATGCGAGAGCCTTGTATGCTGACGACCTTGACCTTAACTGGCTGGTTGCGGGACACCAAGTCCGAAGGATGATTGACACGTGCCCCCTCCTGCATCGCAGAGACGTGTACCAACCCATCAACCTTTCCCTTCACACCCAACAGATTGACGAATGCGCCGAAGTCCTTCACGCCCGTCACACGACCATCGTACACTTTGTATAGGATAGGCTGGTCATCCAGCTCGACCGGCGGAGGCTTGCGGAAGTAGTCATCATCGCCCGCTCGGTCGCGGCGACTCCTGCGCTCACTGTGTCCATTGCGATATCCGTCGTCCCGGCTGCTGTATTTGCTCTTCGACCTGCCGAACTCGTCCACCTCATCCTCAGCCTCTCTCCTGCCGTAATGAGGGCTGTGCGATCGCGAGCGCGAGCGGTATCTGTCGTTGCGCCTGCGCCCGCGCTCACGGTCACGGTCACGGTCACGGTCGCGGTTGTCGTAGTCCGGGCTCCGACTCCGTTTCCTGCTGCTGCGATCCATCCGTGACGATGAGGGGGCTTTGTCCTCGCGCGCCTTGCCCGCCAGCCCTTCCAGCATCGCAAACGTATCATCCATCGCGTCGGCTTTCGCATCGCTCTCCTGCACATCCTTCCGCGAGGCATAGTCCTCCTCATCCCACGTTTGCACCTTATCCGGAACCGCGAGACCCTTGAACACGCGCGCCTTCTTCTCGAGGGCCCCCAGGATATCCATATCGTCATCGCCAGTCGCCCCAGACGAGTTCTGGGCCTGTGCATTCTTGGCCTTGTACTTGGGATGCATCGTGAGGACGAGACGATCGATACTCTCCATCAGACTTTGCGGGAACTCGGCGCCCATCTCCTCCAGGCTCTGCTTGAACTCGGCGAACGAGCCGCATTTGAGATGCTGGTCGATGACGAACTCGGCGAGGGTCTTGTCGCTGACGCCCAAGTGGTTCTGGAGCTCTCCGGTGATTCGCGAGACGAGCGAAAAGAGCTCCAGAGACTGGAGGTCATCCATGGCGGATGCTGTTCTTGTTTTCTTGTTTCGCAGATGGGGAGGGGCAGGCGGATTGGGGTTCGCGTTGAGTAGATGGAAATGACTTCAATACAAAGGCCGTTCGAGATGGCGAGGAGGGTCGAGTCATTCGCTCCAGGTGGTTTTATGATGGGGGGGGGCGAAGGACAAGTTGATCTGCCCGGTTTGCTTCAATGTCCGTGGTGCCGGACCTACGACGGCACCGAAATGGGCGAAGCTCACTGGCGCGGAAAATCGTTGTGGCGTGTTCGGGGTAGTCCGCCACCGATAAGATAAGACGCTGGCAGTATGTTTGTCTCATCTACTAAGTTATACCCAGCTTCAGAAAAAGATCAAGTTGACGAAAGCGCAACATACAATGGATTAAGAAGCTTTCAGGCGAGAGCTTTCGATCTATGCCAAGAGTCATGATGAGAAGAAACAGAGTCAAGAAGTAACAAGATTAATAAAAAAGCTCGCCCGCCAGCGCAGGCTACGAAAACCCCTCTTATCCCCGGGTGTTTTCATACCATTGAATCTCGACTGGTAGAGCCAGCGTCTGCAAGTGCCAGCCGAGACTCGAACGCAGGACCTGGGCGTTTACCTCTACGATCAACGGCAGTGTTTCCCAAGTACGCCACAGGCCCTGCTGATTACCGATTTAGAACCGGAGTAGGTTCATATAGGAGAATCGTGCTCCCTATTCGATAGGCGGTGTAGACATCGCCCGGACGTAGCTCGGAGGTATGTACTCAGTATGTACAGTATAGCGCTGCACCGCCGCCTGAGTTGTGCCGCTATCTCATGCATCAAAATACGGTGACTGCGGAGTAACTACCTAGTTAACTCGACTCTTGACTGCTTCGTTCTGTACAGCTTAGCATGCCTTGCACGTGTGACGGATCAAGCAGGATTCAATTCTTGGTTATTCGGAGTAGGGTTATCTCTGTACATACGTTCCTTTCCTCAGTTTCTAGTATACAAAAAGTCCGCAAGGATCATAATCCACCTGATCTATATACAGAAGAACCAAACATGATAGGCACGAACATGCGCTACGACTCATTAGATAAGAGCCCCTTCAACTATAAATCTAGTGAGATCCTCCTTGGGCTCTTGACTGTTCCTGGGTCTGTTCCTCCTGGGCGGGTTCTTCCGGGGCACCATCTTCCTGGGCACCCTCTTCCTGAAGATTAGCATCTTCCATAGGGTCGTCCAGCACAGGGTCTTCCAGTAAGTCGTCTGTGTGTAGCGCGTCGTCTTGCGCTTGATCATCAAGCGAAGCCATGCCGCTACCATAGGTCGTATCGGCGAATTCGGCCAACAGTTGCTGTTGTTCCAAACTCTGTCTCTCGATAGCGAGCTGCCGTCGGAGAGAAGAGTCCGTTCTGAGCTGCTTGTTGGCGGAGAATTCTGTCAGAGCCCGGACCATCCTTTCTTCCAATAACTCCTTAACGTGCATGGCCAGAGTTCGGTCTGTGAAAATGCCGCCGAAACGGAAGCTCAGCCAGAGATATAAGACGATTGACTTGTGTAGAGATTCCAAATCTAGGGTGTACTGTTTGTTGGCTGAAACCTCTTTTTCGAGGATTTCCAGATTGAGGCTCGAAAAGCTTATGAGATGACCGTTTGAGTTCTCAGCAACGGCGCGAGCGAACTCAATAGCTGCATCCTTGCCGATGACATCCTTGACGTACATAGGTGCGGCCATGAGAGTCAGTTGGTCAGGTATGCGCAGCCCTTCGACGGCATCGATGACCTCGGCGTTTTCGAGCTGAGCGCGAGGATCACACAAAAAGAATAATGGATGTACTTGTGCAACCGACAAAATGCGCTTGATCAAGTATTCCAGGGGGGTGTTCGCCGGGTAATGAGCCGAGAACTTCTGGAAGACAGAGTCCGGAGCCTGCAAGCCCGCGGCAACAAGGGGAGGGGGCTCTATCTCCATCGCCTGCTTGATGTAAGGTAGATCAACTTCCTCGAGGGATGTCACCCAACCGACATTGTCTTCTTGATCATTTTGAGAAACTTTCCCGTGCTGCACAGCAGGCCTGTAACGACCTGCTCGTCCTCCGATCTGCTTGATCTCTGGTACAGTGAGCCGCACAAGCCCTTGCGGGAGCTGCTTGGTCACGGTTTCAAAAACGATACGCTTGCAGCTCCTAGAAGACGCGATATTAGTATCTGAGAAAGTCGGCGACTACCAAAAGCAACTTACAAATTGAGACCCATGCCAATAGCGTCGCTAGCAACTAGAAAGTCGTAGTCATTGTCCGGATCATTAAAGAGTGCAGCCTGCTGGGTTCGAATTTCGGCCGGCAAGCTCCCATAGACGATAGCTGCTCGTTTCCCCGTGGTCCTTTCAATCTGTGCTTTCAGAGCGTGAATCCCAAGACGCGAGAAGGAGACAACACAGTCTCCTTTCTGAAGATTGTTTAAGTTGCCTCCGAGACTCTGCTTGGCAACTTTCAATTCGTTCAGTCGTTCGTAGCGGTGGATCTCGAGTTTGTCACCAGTTAGAGCTGCCAGCTCTCGAATCAAAGGAACCGCTCGCAGTTCACCACAGAGATGAAGTTCTTGGACGCGAGCACCCAGGAAAGCACGGGTCCAAGCCCACCCACGCCGAGTATCACTGATCATTTGGATCTCATCGATGACACCGACTTCATATGACTGTCCTATGCTACACATCTCCACCGTATTGCTAACAATCGCTGCCGATTCATCACCATCACCTTCGTGGATCTTAACTTCATCACCAGTGATCAAGCTGCAGGGGATTCCGGCCGTCGTAAAGCGCTGGTATACTTCCTGGGCCAATAGTCGCAAAGGTCCAGCATAGAAGCCAGACTTGGACGCTTGCAGGCGTTTTAGTGCATGGTACGTTTTCCCCGAGTTGGTGGGACCGACGTGTAAGTGTATTGTGCGCTGGATGGCGCGCGCTTGCGGGAACAACTCCGTCGGACGTCGCATGTCAGCCAATATCTTCTGCCGGACCTGGTTCGGTGTCCCATATTCCGCCGTGATATCTTCCGAGTACATCTGGAATTCTATCTCATCTCTCAGTCCCCTGACTCCATAATTGCTGTAGGCCTCATGCAGGGCATTCTTGAGGCGGCGCAAGGCACCCGCGGCTGCAGGAGTTTTGCGATCGTCTAGTTTGCATGCATTCAGCACCTGTCTTTCAAAGGCATCCCACCTCTTCAAGGATGTCCAGTCTTTCGCTCTCGTGAGCTTGGTGCGATAGCCTTCGAGACTTTGTTTGACGACCGCCACAAAATCAGGTCCGGTCGATCTTAGGCGATCTCTGGGAGGAGACTTGGCACGAGATGCATTCTTTCCTTGCTCTTGCTTGGCCCGATTGCCTCTATCTTTTTGTCCCTGATGGTAGTGAGAGGAGAAGAATTAGCATTGAATCCAAAGAATTCAGGAACAAGTGCTTGGCCATACAGCTTTTCTCAGCAGCACTGGCGAAGTTGCAAAGGTCCGATTCGCAGGACGGACTATTGGCTGCAGTGTGCACAAAAGGCATCGACTGCCTTTGCTGCTCCATAGGCGCATGCCTGACGCGGAAATGAGAGATTGAGGCCTATGCTATCGTGGAGTGGTATGTTCTTTCGTTCCGTAATCAAATGGCAAATCTGGTTGTTGAACGGGATCGTCCAACCAAGGCGTGAGGGCGCAGGGACGGGACGATATTACCACACTTATCACACTTATCAGGGTCGAAAGGCTGGGAAAAAGAGATCAAATGTGAAGAATATTAGCAGAGAGATAGAAGAACACAGCAAGCTCCCTCTTAGAAATCCCCTCCGTCATTAATTCGCCATCGATAACGTTTTTTTTTTTTCTGCCTTTACTCAAGCTGCGGCGGCGATAGAGTAACTTGGAAGACTTCCGAGGCGGGAGCGAGTGGCTACACCGCCTTCCCAAGTTTTATCCCCTGCGGCGGAACTTTGGAAAGCATACTAGGCAGCGGAGGAGAGAAGAGGGAAAGAGAGGGAAAAGGTGGGGACCGGACGGGACTCGGAGCTCGAGGGGTCTCAAACCATCTGCTACGTTTCATAAAGATAACTTACCTCAGTTACTCAGTATTATCATCATCACCCCCTGATTGATCTTCGCGCAGCGCCCCTGTCGCTTGCTTGTCTCTTACCTTGCTTGGCTGCTGGCTTGCATTTGCTTAACCTCCTCTGGTCTGCTGCCCTAAACTGCCTTAGCACCCCTCAATCCTCACCCCTCTTCCCAGTGTTGTGAGTTACAAGTTACAAGTCTATGCCCCAGCGGAGGGCTGCCCGTCAGCCAAAATGAGCGCCTCAATCCTCAACATTCAGCGCGACAGTAAGACCGGCTATTTTATCGTGCGCGCAATATTTTTTCGTACTAATTTATCCCTTTCTTTCCTTCAGTCATCCTGAACACCATTCGTTACGCGGCGGGGAACGAGGTACGGTCTCTCGCTCATTGCCCCTCCTGATAGTTCCGGTCCCCTCACCACTCTCACAATCCGCATACCGCTGACATGGGGCGCTTGTAGTGGAAGGTCCTAGTCGTGGATGAGACTAGTCGGAAATTAATCAACAATGCCGTCAGCGAGGACGATATCCTCAACCTGAACGTGACCAGTAAGCGGAACTTCATGCCGAATCTATGCATGTCGGTAGGCGCTAACTGGCCGGTTCCCAAGATGTCGAACAGATCGAGCACCGGCGCCCAACAAATGCCTCTATGGATGCGCTGTACATCCTTTCCCCCCTTCCGCATATTGTCGACTGTTTGATGGCCGATTTTGAGCGGAAGAGATACAAGAAAGCATGGCTGGTTTGGACGTCCTGTTGGTCGCAGCATTCCTTGGGTGCTATGGTTGGTGCTGACGTACGGGGCAGTCCTCGATCCGCAACAACGAGCTCGACTAGACCGGTCGCAGATGGCGCATGATAATATCGCCAATGTTCAGATCATGAATGCCGATTATTTCCCCCGCGAATCCCGTGTCGTGACATTCCGGGATCCATGGAGCTTTCCAGTTCTGTTCCACCCTGGTTGCAACCATTTGATCCGTGCGCACTTGGAAGGACTGGCTCAGAAGGTATGGCAAAAGCTTTAGCTCCACGGACCAGCTTTGCATGCTGACAACGGTGGGAGATTGTGTCTCTCTGTGCAAGCTTAGGAGAGTACCCGATCATCCGGTACTATCGGCCCAGGACCCCTACCCACGAGGCCGGCGTTTTATGCTCACACCTGGCCCGCTTCATTCAAAACGAGTTGGATCAATTCGCGCAATTTCAACGGGACTTTCCGCCCCCATCATCTCGCCCTCGCGGGGTTCTCCTTGTTGTAGACCGCTCGATGGACGTCGTAGCGCCTCTGCTCCATGAGTTTACATACCAGTCCATGGTGCATGATCTGCTGCCCATCAACGATGGGGACAAGGTCACGTACAAGACCGTCATCAATGAGGGCGGCGCCAATCAAGAAGTCAAAGAAATGGAGATTAATGAGCAGGACAACGTATGGGTTGAGTACCGACACATGCACATGAAGGACGTACTGGGGAAGCTGGGCGAAGACTTCGCCAAGTTTCGAGCAGCCAACCCTCAATTCGCGGAAGAGTAGGCTTTTCTCCCATAATTTTCTCCCCTCCGATCCTATGTCCTAAAACTGACATGAGTTCCAGCAACAACAAAGCGAACGTCAACACAATCAAGGATATGCTTGCAGGCTTGACTGAGTTTCAGCAGGGCCGCGATGCATACACACTTCATTTGAACATGGCACAAGAGTGTATGAAATATTTCCAGGAGCACAAGCTTCTGGAGGTCAGCTCTGTCGAGCAAAGCCTGGCAACCGGCATGGATGAGAACTACAAGAAGGCCAAGCATCTGGGCTCCCAGATTGTTCAACTCCTCGATGATGAAGCGACTCGACAGCCGGAACGATTGAGACTTTTACTACTTTATATTATCTACCGAGGCGGACTGCTCGCCGGAGACATCCGCAAGCTCATGGCACACGCGCAACTTCCACCGCAGGACGGGGAAATCATATCTAATCTGGACCTACTTGGCGTGCGTGTAGAGAAGCCCCTAAAAGATGACAAGCCTCCTGTACAACCGCTATTTACTCGGAAGCCGCCAACGGCAGTCGGCATGGAAGAGGAAAGTTTGACTCGTTACGATTTGAACCTCAAGCTGATCTTGGAGGACCTGGTGCGAGGCACCCTTGACACGACTGTCTTCCCACCCACGCGTCCACACACGGAAGGCGAGGGCTCGAACCCACAAGATGCCTTGTCGCAAGCATCTCTCCGGAGTGCGAAGCCCACGTGGGCGCGAACGCGCACAACCGGCGAGCAGCCTCGCCAGCGCATTATCGTCTTCATGGCGGGTGGCGCGACCTACGGCGAGGCGCGTACGTGCTACGAGATCTCGCAAGCACATGCCAAGGATGTCTACCTGGCCACGTCCCATATGCTCTCGCCGGGGCTATTCATGCGACAGATCGGCGACCTCAGCGTCGACAAACGACGGCTGGACATCCCGGCCGAGCGGCCGAAACCTACGGCACCTGCTCATCTCTTCGAGAAAGAAGCGCCCCCGCCACCTCAACCTCAGGCGAAGAAGCCCGTCGCCGCTGCCCCGCCTTCGGCCGCAATGGCCTCGATGTCACTTGGACACAAGGCTCCCAGCGGCGGGCCGAGTCCGGCTCCGGCTCCTACCAGCTCCAAGCCAGGCAAAGAGCACAAGGAGAAGGAGAAGAAGGAGAAGAAACGCCACCACTTTTTCCGATAGGCTGTTCTGCCACTCTTGCCCCGTAGCCCTCTCCATAGCTCAACCCTGATCTCATCTAGCGCAGCTGTGATACCAAGTTCAATTGTCTGTTAGTTTCGAGCTATCTCCGGCCATAATCCATCTTAGCAAGATCAGCAAAGCAAAGTGTACACGCATCCCGGACAACGAAAAATAATTCATGGACAATAAATAATAGAGGGTATCTAAACGTACGCCACAGAAACAAGGCCACTAAACATTCCAGAACTCTTCTCCCAACCCAACCAACCCGGCCCCCTCCCCTCGCCAAATGAATTCAACCACCCCCAAGATACCTCAAAATCCTCTCATCCTGATAAAACAGCTCGCGCAGCCTCTCCCCGCGCTTCCTGGCATCCACCTGCCCCCTCCGCACCTCCTTGGCATTCAACTTCTGCACTTTCCCACCGCCCCTGGTGCCCCCGGCATCCTTACCGCCCCCGCGCCTCCGTCTTTTGTGGTCCCCCTCCTCATCCGATGCTTGGCCTACAACCCCCAACCCCACCGTATCAACCTTCACTTTCCCTCTCACCGGCGCCACGATCCCCTCCCGCCCCGGCGCCCCCAGCCCCAGCCTGCTGTCCGGGTCCCAGCCGTAGGCGGCTAGGTAGCGCAGGCCCGGGCGGGTGCGGTCCAGGTGCGAGGGCGGATGCGAGTGGGTGAGGCAGAGTTGGTGCGCGAGGGAGGCTTCGTGTGGGCGGGCGTGGGGATGGGGGGTGGTTTCTGTTGCGGTTTGGGTCTCTAATGAGGATGATGCTGCTGTGTAAGGGAGGTTGCAGATTTGGCAGATTTGAGATATCGGGTTCGGGTTGTTGTTGTGTTCGAGAGGGGGAGTAGTGGTGGTTGATGGTGGTGTTGGTGCGGAGTGGGATTGTGGAATTGCTGCTGCTGCTGTAGTGGTGGTGGTGGGAGTATTCGTGGTGGTGGTGGATGGAGCTGTGGCTGGGAAATCTACTGTGGTCTCCTCCGGGGTAGGCGTAGCGGATTTCGCGAGGACGATAGAGAGGTATTTGTTCGCGATGGTGGCGCCTGTCGTTGTACTAGGTGCGGTGGACGCGGCGGCATGGCGGTGGAGGGCGGAGTCGGTGGTGTTGAGGTCGGGCCCGTCGGAGGAGCGCACGAAGGGGACGCGCTTGCGGCGGATCCCGGCGCCGAAGACGCGTTGGTCCTCCAAAGGGAGGAAGTAATCTTCTTCTTCTTCTTCTTCTTCTTCTTCTTCTTCTTCTTCTTCTTCTTCTTCTGCGGGGTTGTTGTCTGGCATTGTGGTGGTGGTGGTGGTGTTGTCGAGAAGAAACCGACAGGTAGATGAAAAAGGCAGGAGAAGTGACGCACCTCTGCAGTGGCGGGAGATCGGCCGCTAAGCCGCAACCTCCTCCGCGCGGCCGCCGGACGGGCCAGATTTGTTGGACTTCATTTCGGGTCATCTTTGTCGACTACAAATCCCCAAGTCAACTCCCACCTTTTCTTAGTCGTGGTCTCCCCTTGGACTCGAATCTTATCTTTTGTTTGAAGCTTTGCACTGTCGTCGTCCCTCCACCACCACAATGCCCATTCCCCTGATCGTCCAGGGTGTCACCGAGGGTGTCTCTTCCATCCCCTTCGCCTGGACGATCCTCAAGCTCACCCCCTGGGTTCTTGTGATTGCCGTCCTGAAATTCTACTTTGGCGGCGCCCGCAATTCCTCGGAGCGGGTGATGCACTCCAAGGTCGTTATGATCACGGTACGATTCCCTTTACCCCCCGTCTCTCCGAACCTCCCCCAACAATACCCCCCTCTCCCCCAAAAAGAAAGCCAAAAAAACTAAACAAAAAAAGGGAGGAACATCCGGCATCGGCGCGCAAATCACACAATCCCTCGCCGCCCGCGGGGCGCAAATCATCCTGCTGACGCAACACAGCCCCTCGGACGTGTTCCTGGTGGAATACATCGAGGACCTGCGGCGCACGACCAACAACCAACTCATCTACGCGGAGCAAGTGGACCTTGGCTCACTACACTCGATCCGCACCTTCGCCACCAAATGGATCGACAACGTCACGCCGCGCCGGCTGGACATGATCATCCTGTGCGCCAGCACGAACCCCCCTCAAAAGACCCTGACGGACGACGGCCTCGACGAGGAGTGGCAGGTCAACTACCTGGCCAACTTCCATCTGCTGAGTATCCTCAGCCCCGCGCTGCGCGCGCAGCCAGCGCACCGCGACGTGCGCGTCATCTTCGCGGGGTGCTCGTCGAGTTACATCCGGGCGGGCGCGTTTGATTTGCGGACGGTCGAGGATGTGATCAATCACCAGGTGTTGCAGCAGCAGCAGCAAAAGTCAGCAGCGGCGGGGCAGAAGGTCGGGAAGAGTGGTCACGGGAAAAAGACATCTACAGCCACCACCAACAACAACAAGAAACAAAAGCAGAGGCCGGAAAGTCTGTTCGGGATGAGCAAACTCGCTCTTATGGTGTTTGCGCACTCGTTTCAGAAACATCTCAACGCATTCAAGCGGCCGGACGGCCACCCTCCGGCCGCGCGGGTCATCATGGTAGACCCCGGGTTCACGCGCACGCCCGGCATGCGGCGCTGGATGACGGGCGGGTCGCTGTGGGGCCTGCTGGGGTACCTGGTCACCTGGCCGGTGTGGTGGCTGGTGCTCAAGTCGCCGCAGCAGGGGGCGCAGAGTTTCCTGTACGCGGCGATGGAGGCGCGCTACGGCCGCGACGAGGGCGGGTGGATGATCAAGGAGTGTCGCGAGGTGGATGTGGCGCGGCGGGAGATCCGGGACGAGGCCGCGGGCAAGCTGTTATGGGAGTTCAGTGAGAAGATGATCGAGGTCAAGGAGAAGGAGAGTGCCGTGCTGCGGGCGCGGGCCAAGAAGGAGGCGGAACTGGCGGAGGCGGCCGAGCAGAAGGCCGCTGCCGCGCCCAAGGCACAGACCCCTGGGTCGAGGAGGAGTCGGAAGGGCAATGGCAGTGGCGAGAGTGGTAAATAGACTGGCTGTATATATGGTGCGATATTTTCGGGGAGGTTAAGAGTGGAGTGCATACATGCATGGTTCTGGAGTTTAGGTAACTATTTCAAGACACCTCATCTATCCACCTCAAGGGTCGGGTAATCCAATTACTTATTTCATGACACCTCATCTATCCATCCACTCGCGAGACAACAACACAGCAAACACAAGCAAGTGCAATTACACCAGGCATATCTTTAAGAAAGGAAATTCGTCTCATTCAGATCAAATCTATTGATGCGATTTTGGTTCTTCCGCCGTCGCCAAAGACATGCTAATTAAATCAACAGTAGGTAAGGTAGGTATCATTCAGGATCAAGTTTAGTTTAGTTCTTGAGCTTCTCGAGGAGCTCGGCGGGGGGCTGTTGCCGGTATCCCTCAGGGTTGTTGCGGGTCCAGAGCCAGAGATCCTCGCAGGCTTGCTCGAGGGTGTGCTCGGCCTTCCAGCCCAATTCCTGGATGGCCCGGCTAGGGTTGGAGGTGAGGTTCAGGACGTCACCGGCACGGCGGGGGGCGACCTCATAGGGGAGGTCGCGGCCGACGGCGGCGGAGAAGGCACGGATCATCTCGTAGACCGTGCTGCCCTTGCCGGTACCCAAGTTCCAGGCACGGACACCGGGGTTGTTGGCGCGGAGGTAGTTGAGGGCCTTCAGGTGGCCGTCGGCCAGGTCGAGGATGTGGATGTAGTCACGGATGGCGGTTCCGTCGTGGGAGGCGTAGTCTAGCATCGTGTTAGTTCGCTGGTGAGAGGAGAGGAGAGGGAATCTTAACGTACCATCGCCGAAGACGAGGAGCTTCTCACGCTTGCCAGTGGCGACCTGGGCCAGAAGAGGGAGCAGGTTGTAGGGGACACCCTGGGGGTCCTCGCCCATGATACCACTGGGGTGAGCACCGGCGGGGTTGAAGTAGCGGAGCAGGGCACCGTTCCACTTGTTGGCCTCGGCCTCCTTGCCGGCCTTGATGGCGTTGTTGCGCTGAGCGTTGATCAGATCGGTGATAGCGGTCTCCACGGCGAACTTGGTGTTGCCGTAGGGGTTGGTGGGACCCAGAGGGCAGTCCTCGGGGATGGGGATCATGTTGGGGAAGCGAGTGGCGTCGCCGTAGACAGTGGCGGAGCTGGAGAAGACGATGTTGGTGACATTGTTGCGGACCATGGAGCGGAGGAGGCAGATGGTGCCGTAGACGTTGACGTGCCAGTAGTCCAGAGGCTTCTCACCGGACTCTCCGACAGCCTGAGCACAGGGGAAATGTTTAGTATAGTACTTGCAGGTGCAATGGCAAAGCAGACGGGTTAGACGCACCTTGAGAGCAGCGAAGTGGATGACGCTGTCAATGTCGGGGTGGGCCTGGAAGACCTTGTCGAAAGCCGCCTCGTCGGTAACATCGAGCTGGGCGAACTCGGGCTTCTTGCCGCAGATCAACTCAATGCGGTTGAGAGCCTCGGCGGAGGAGTTGTAGAGGTTGTCAGCGACAACGACCTTGTAGCCAGCCTGCAACAAGGCAAGGGTGGTGAAAGAGCCAATGTAGCCCGTGCCACTGCGCGGTTGGAGATTGCGGGGTCAGTTCCAGCTGTAAGAGATTGGGGTGCAATGGTAGAACTTACCCAGTGACGAGAACTGAGCCAGCAGACATGATGAAGGAGGATTGGATTAGATGGCGGAGAGGGGAAAGAGAGAATTGGAGTGAGGAAGGGGAGGAGGGGATTGGGGGGGAGAAAAGAAAGGGAACAGAAACAGGAACAGGAACAGGACAGTAAGACGGGATATTTAAGGAGGAGTGAGTGGACTCATTGGATTGGACTGGGAAGGGAAGAGTTGGCTGCTTTCGAGGATGGGAAACATGGTGGAGGGAGGCGGGCACAGGCACTGCAGTGGGTGGACTGTGGAGGGGCTTTCCGGAGGAGGACCACTGCACCAGGTACCGTTTCGGTATGGTCAGAATGGTCAGACTCCCTATTTCTCCGTCTACACCGCCCGGCATAACCCGGTTAACCCGGTTTTGTAGTGGTAATTCCGAGTATGATGAGGTAATTTACTAGTACTTATCGGGGGCTGACGCGGGCTGGTCTCGATTTGTCTGTTTTGTCTGTCTGGTCGCAAACAGACCATGCATCGTCTCTCGGCTGCACAAGTCCATTGTCGGCATAGAATGGCACCGGTTGAGTAATCTACAACTTCTTGCTCCCTCTCATCTATCCTCATTGTGTATGTCCAACACCCCCCGTTCAGTCTGTACAACAGTCTTACCTGTTCCTATCAACACAAAGGATTGTTTGTGCCCCGTTGGCTGATGATCACTGCAGTGCTTCCCAGACAATCCTCCCCGTAATGAGTGGTCAACGGGACGATCCAATCCACCGGTTTAATTTACCCAAACCATCAAACCACGATCATGACACTTTTCAGGGACAATTCTCTCGGTCTCAGGTGGGGAGACAGTCGCCGACTCGCCAGACAACAACTAACATAAAGACGAACAGGGATGGACTGATAGCTAACAGCCACAGCCACATGCAAGCTGCAGGCCCGATGCATATGCCTGCCCTGCCGTAGCCGACCGAAAAGCCAAGCCAGAGCAGAGCAGTAAGTCAGTTCTCGGTCCGACTCGCTTATGACAGGGGGAAATAAATGAATCACAAAAAAAGACCAATCCTTCATATTCATGGAAACTCCAACGGTCCAGCACCCTGGAAATAGTAATCTATCGACTCGCGCACCTCACCAAAACCATGCATCTTTAACCGACCTCTCCAGTCCAGGCTGAACCCCAATTAGCACGAGCGGGTCGGCGGTTCCACTGCGCAAAGTGGATCTGTGCTGTGCTCCTCGAGTTCAGTTCCGAGGGTCTTCTGCCCGCCCCCCCCCCCCCCCCGTGTGTAGGTTACAGGTTGCAAGTTGCTGCCAGTCAGGAAAGGAAGAAAGAGGTTGTCTGGCCTAATTCCTACTATTGATGGCACCACTGCAACGCTCGCCTGTGCTAACTAATATATCGGCTTACCTAGCCTAGTCTCGCCTGGGACTAGACTCCGGGGGCTGGTTCGGCTGTGCATTAGTTACTGTAGTAGTCGCTCTTTTGCTTGCAAGTCCTGTCTACTTGCCTAAGACTATACAGGTGCCGCCGCTTTTATAACATCGGCACGTGACTCATCCTTCTATACTCTTATACTCCTGGACACCTGATGCGAAGGAAAACCACCCGCCCCTTTCGTCCTCGGGCAGTATCTCAAGCTACAGATAAAAGGCTAGTTTCCTCTTATGGGGATCCAAGCTCGAACGTCACCGCCGCCGCCTCGTTCAATTCGTTTCCCAGGTTTGTGACAGGCGTGCTTCGTATGTGGCGGCTGTGGCTGCCATGACTGGAGGCTGGGAGATCGCGCGCGAGAGGCGGCTCCGGGTCGAGGTTCAGTGTATCAATCCAAATATTCAATGGAGTGGGACGAGCCCGATCGACCCTTCCGGCAAGACTTGGTGAAGCAGAGTTGGTGGCGACGGCAGGCAATGCGCGTCATGGCGAAGACGTGGATCGAGGGGATGGTAGTTTCAAGAATGTTGCGGAAGTTCCGCCAAATGGCCGTGAGGGGCCCTGAAGCGTTCGGAGCTGTCGGGGAGATTCTCCTTGAGATTGAGTGCCACCAGGGTCACCACGCGCAGACTTGGGGCGGCACTGCGCAGAGAAAGCGCAAGGTCGGATAGGGTGACTTCGACCCAGTGCGGGTGCAGCCTCATCAGGCGGGAGAAGTGAACCTGGGGGGCCATTCTCTCCGGCGTGACAAGACTGTGGATGCGCTGGAAATATTGGCAGGCAAAGACGGGCAAGGTGGCGCGATATAGAGCCTTGTATGTCAGTCGCAGGGCACATAGATCCAGGTATGCCAGGCACGTTGCAATCGCATCGAACAACTCTGGTGGGAGGGACTCCATTGTGTGCGGCAGGTCAGATGCAATTGGGGAGGTGGAGACCAAGGGGGAGAGGGAAGAATGCCTCGTAAGTGTGTGTGAAATTGTGCATTAGTGAATAAATGGAGTGGGACTGACCCCGTGGAGTATAACCTTGGATAGAGCATCAGAAAGGGAAAGTTGCTGGATTTCTGCTGAAACCTTGTTTAGTGGTCGAGGAGGCCATATACTTACTTTATGTTATGTAACCTTTATAAAGAATATTGGTGTTTGGGTAAGGAACATATTGTATAGGAGTTGTGGTGATAACCACAGCTGTTCGTGAAGTGCGTGGTGTTTGGGAAGTGCTTGGCCTCCTCTACTAGTAGCAGCCGCAGCAGTAGTAACTTAGTATTAAATAGTGCAATCATGTCTTTTTCCATCGTGGATCTTGCATAAGCATAACAATATAATCAAATAGAACATGGAAGAAAAGCTATCCACACGACTTTCGAACATGTCCCCCAAATCCCGCTGTAGGACATCACTGAACAAAACTAATAAAGTACGTACGTAAAGTTGGTAGGTAATACATCATTGAAGAATGCACCTCGCATTCACCACCGCCAAAGGTTGGTCGACAGCTCGTTTGGGCCTGTCTCCCTCCAATGCTGCGTCCGAGAGCACCAACCGACCCTGCCTGTCAGCTGCCTCTCTGTCTCTTTCTTGTTCTTCGGGTTTCAGATACCCCGGGTGCAGTTCTACTAAGCAGTAGATCACGTCTGCTCAACCCTTTCAGCACGAACAACGGCATGCCGCTTATGGCAGACTGCGATGTGTCCAGAGGCAAACCCGCTCATCTATGGGCCCAAGTCTGCCCGGCCTGACCGACACAAGGTTTCAAAGGTCATGGAGTACCCAGCATTTAGATCAGGCCTGATCACTATGTCCTCTCTGGCTTTCTAACCCAAAAGTTCAACGTCCAGACCGATGGCCCGCATAAACAAATTAACGTTTCCGAGACGCTGGCTGGCCATGTCTGCAGGAAGCGTCTTGCTGTACGTAACAGTTTCCATCACACGATCCCTGTAGTGGTAGTTAGCATCGAATCGATGGATCATAGAAAAGCTTCAACTTACTTCACGGCAATGACTAGGCGTTGCTGTTGATCGGGGCTGGCGCCGATACCGACGGCAGCCAAGAATTGCCAGACGTACATATCGTCACCGGCATTGATGGAACTGGGGAAGATATCGGCAAATGTGGGTTCCAGTGTATCAAATAGCACGTTGAATTTCTCAACCCACTGCTGCCAATCTCGCTCTGACGCTTGGTCGGCTTCCTTCACAATTTCCGCGCGGCTCAGGAGCATGGTTAGGATTCCTAGTCCGATCCTGGTCTTGGCCACCAGCTGAACATGGGTCTGCGCAATCACTAGTCCCAACAATCCAATGATGATATTGAACGGAGCCTCATTGACGTAGCCGAGAAGGCTCGGCATGACCGTCTGAGAAAAGAGGTCGATGGCTTCGCGGACGACCGGAGACGGCTGAGTCTCACCGGGCATAAGCTGTGCGCGTCGGACCACGTCCAAAGTGTCCAAGTGGACAACGATCATGGTAAGGATCGTGACGCGTTGTTCCTGGTCAATGTGACGGAAGATACGGGGGATGGCCTTCTTGCCCTTGGGGTAAGAGAGGAAAGCGATGAACGGGTGAGGTGTGTTAGTGTTGGGGACAATCGGCTCCATAACCTTCAGTTCGCGCCACAGTTTCTGGTTGAGCGAGCGAACATTTTGCCGCCACTCCATATGCTTCTGAATGGCCTCGGGGTCATTCTCGTCTGGCGGAGGAGGCATGGTGCGCTCCATATCTTCCATTTCCATCAGCGTGCTGTAGACGCCCTCGATGTTGGTCAGGATAGACTTCCGGTCGCTCAGACTCAGGTCGGTCTGAGGCTTCTTGGGTAACTTGCCACCTTCGGAGCTCTCGGGCCGCTTGAGGTTGAGCATGGGCTTCGGAGCCTTCGCATTGCCAAAAGAAATCTTGCCCAAGCTACCTTCGATGATAAGTTGTTTGTTCTTGGGCTTGGCCTTGGCAGCCTCGACGGCCCGCTGAACTTGCTGCTGCATTCTCTGCATGTGGTTGTCGGCATTCTGGAACTGTCTCCGGTTGCCGTGACCACCGAGGCGGTTACCAGTCTGGAGGAGATACGTCTGCGCAAAATGACCGAGAGGTTGATGAGGGTGTTGCCGAGGAGCACCGCGGATCTGGCTGTAGACCTGATAGTAGAAATCTTCTGCCAAGACAGCTTCGGAATCCGTGTCTACGACATTACCTGCGGCAGCCACCAGTTGCTGGAGCTGGATACGGGTAATGAAGTTCTTGTCTTGCGGAGTCATCAGACCATTGCCCTTGGAAAGGAGGAAGATCTTGTGGTTTCGCTTGGCGCGCTTCGCATCTTCCATCAAGTATGCCACTCGTTGCTCTTCCGACAGATGCATCAGCTGTTGAGGATTGGTGATCACGGGCAGCTGGGCGTTGTTGGCCCGCATGCTTTGAGACGGCGGTGGAGGCTGTTGTTGCTGGGCTTGAGGACCTCCAGGTGGGATCATCTGACGTTGAGGCGGCCCCATGTGCTGCGGGGGAAGATTGGCATTTTGCAGAAGGTGCATTGGCATGTTGGGAGCATGCGGAGCAAGCGGATACGGGTCGGGAACCATCGGCGGCTGGTGCAACAGCTGCGCCGGAGGCGGCACACCCTTAGCAAACTGAGCGTGCAGAAGCTCAGGTGGCAGCTGTGCGAAGCCTTCGGGCAGCGGAGGCATCTGAGCTCGCTGAAGCGGGTGAGACGGCTCGGGCATCGACTGAGGAAGAGACACCGGTATCTGGCCAGGCAGTGACGACGGGTATCGCCGCAACTGCGCCTCTACCTCCTCCAAGCTGAGCATCTTCTTTGCCCGTGCCTGGGCCTGGGCCTGGGCCTGCGCTTGAGCCTGAGCCTGAGCCTGAGCGTGCGCCTGTGCCTGTGCTTGTGCCTGTGCCTGTGCAATCATCATTGGCGTGGGTTCCGGTTTCTTCTGAACACCCCAGACGCTCGACTTGGCCTGAAGATCCGGGATATACCCGGGATCCGAGTACTTCTCATAACCGGTCCGTTTCGGCTGCACAGCGGCAGCACTCACAGCAGGATCGGCAATGATGTCTGCAGTGACAGGGGCGACAGCAGGGGCTCTGGGCTTCTGGAGACTGTAGCGTATTTGCTCTTCGCCGATGGCATCGGCTACCTGCGCGGTCTTCCCAAAGAAATCGAAGTCCTTTCCGACAGGAGGAGCGCCGAGGTCGTCGCCGAAGGTGTCGTCGTTGAAGGCATCCTGGTCGTCGTCGAGCTGATCGCCCAGGCCATCGTAGGTATCCTCAAAATCAATGCTATACGCGTGTACCAAGCCCATCAGTCATCTTTGGTGCAAGTCAATGGATTGTAGAAGGAGGGGGACCTTACGCATCGTCATCCTCGTCGCCGCCTCGGAATCCTTGAACAAGACGGGCGCGAGCGACCTCGGCGAATGGATCAGGCGTCTCGAAAATACCCCGGCGCTCGGAAGGAGCAGCCCGGTCCCTGGGCAGGGTGGTGTCAAAGCCGAAGAAAGACATCTTCGGCAGAGGCAGCTTGGATGGGGAACAGGGGGGGGCTGGTGGCGTGGGGAGGGGGGAGGAGGAATTACCACGGCATAATTGTGGTGCGGGATGAGGTTCAGAGCCGGTCTGATATCACCCGCCTGACTAGGTGGGTTTAGGCTTAGCTGTGTTAGTCTGAGTGCCTGAGGCATAAAGTCTGTGAGGCGGTCAAGTTCTGCAGAAATAAGGTGCACTGCAGCCACTCCACCACCTGGCGGCCACCCGCCCAACAACACGAAATGATTGTAACTGAATTACGGAGTACTGAGTGGTAACACCCTTCCGGCAAATCGTTGTCAACACAGCCACAGCTACGGAGTACTTCTACCACAAATGACACGGGCTATACGAAGCTTTGGGGGCAATTTCCTAAGATTTACAAGGACGTTTCTATACATCAGTGGAGAGATAGATCTTGCGGCTGCAGTCAATATGATAGACTCGAGCACGATCCCCGAGTTTAACTCTAACAACAAAGATGCAATAGTTAATAATTAATACTAGGTAGTCAAAAGAGAACAGAAACAGGCTTGAGGAGTGGGTGGCCAACTCCCGAACAACGTACGTGGCCTGGCCAATAACCATTGGGGAGGTTACGTCGCCTCCCATTGACTACGGAGTATGAGAATTCCCATTCATTCATTCATTCATCCATTCATTCTTAGTGATTCAGTTCATGCTCCGCCGCAGGGCTGACCTTGTTCGTCCGCTTTTACTCTCCGTAGCGAACAGACAGTTTCCTCTCCTCTCCTGAATTAAGATTACTATAATTTCCCTTTGATCCCTTTATTTATTTGATTTTTTCTGTTTCTTATCAGCCCCTCCTCCTTCTATTTCCCCCTCCCCCTTGTTTATGTTCTACCCGGTCGCAACCAACCCGCGGTTCGGGAAAGACTCATACAAACACTGGTGAGAGATCGAGACCGTTGCCCCATAATAATTACACCACCGCACCCTGTTCATCTCCGTGCTTGTCGCCGATCATCTCGAGACTTTCTGGCAATTCCGGCGCCTAGTCTTCCTTCCACACCGTCCACTTCGTCCACTGCGTAGTTGAGATCTTACCGTGGGATCTCAGGTCTCCAGCTCTTTTCTTTTCCCTCTTCTTCACTTCATATTGTCGCTCGCTTTTTCCTCTTTATTCCCCAATTCTCCACGTCAAGCGGTCCCGTGCGAAAGGCCTCCATATTTACCACATTCACTCCGCTCTGCGCCAGTCTAGCCACATCAACAGACTTGAGATTTTGAAAGCACAGAAACCTCGGTGATCATGGCTCTAGGGCCAGTCCGATATCTCCTGTTTGCTGTCACAGTCAGTTCTTTTTGGTTTTCTCCCAATCTCCTTTCATGGCTGACCCGATGCGCCTAGGGACTGGCACTTTTCTTCCTGATATCGAGAAGCGCAATCCCGATCCCGGAGCAGATCGGATCGAAACTCAACTATGGATCCTCCTCCTCATCCTCTTCGTACTCCCAGAGCGATGCCGCCGCCGCATACTCATCCAACAAGGTCATCCCCGCGGCCGACCGCATGAACGCAACCTTTGTCACCTTGGCCCGGAACAGCGACCTTTGGGAGATGGTCAAGTCGATCCGCACGGTGGAGGACCGGTTCAACCGCAACTATCACTACGACTGGGTGTTCCTGAACGACAAGCCCTTTGACGATGAGTTCATCAAGATCACCTCGGCGCTCGTCTCCGGAGAAACCCATTATGGCGTGATTCCCAAGGAGCATTGGTCATACCCCGAATGGATCGATCAGGAGAAAGCGAAGAAGGTGCGGCAGGAGATGGGCGAGAAGAAGATCATCTACGGCGATTCGGAAAGCTACCGCCACATGTGCCGCTACGAATCGGGCTTCTTCTTCCGCCACCCGCTGATGCTGAACTACGAATACTACTGGCGTGTGGAGCCCAGCATCGAGCTCTACTGCGACGTCCCGCTGGATCCGTTCCGTTTCATGAAGGAGAACAACAAGAAGTACAGCTTCACGCTCAGTCTCTACGAATACTATGACACGATCCCGACCCTCTGGGACACCACGCAGAAATTCGTCGGCGAACACCCGGAACACATCTCGAGCGACAACTCTATGGGCTTCTTGAGTGACGATGGCGGCAAGACCTACAACAAATGCCACTTCGTATGTATATCTTTCGGAATCACTATCAAGGGTGTGGCTAACTCGATCTATAGTGGTCCAACTTCGAAGTCGGAAGCCTGGAATGGCTGAGATCGAAGGCGTACATCGATTACTTTGAGACCCTGGACCATGCCGGTGGTTTCTTCTACGAGCGTTGGGGTGATGCCCCGGTCCACTCGATTGCCGCCGGCCTGCTTCTCGACAAGGACCAGATTCATTTCTTTGATGAGATCGGCTACTATCACGTGCCATTCACCCACTGTCCAACCGAGGAGAAGAAGAGACTGGACCTGAGATGCTCCTGCAACCCTAGCGAGAACTTTGATTGGAAGGGTTACTCTTGTAAGTTTGACTATCTCACCGGGTAGGTGCCGGGTTACTTACCATTGCTCGTAGGCACATCTCGGTACTTCCAGATCAACAACCTGGACAAGCCCAAGGGCTATGAGGCCCAAACCTGACTCCGCATGATTGGATTAATTTTGATTTCGGCAACCTTCATCTGCGTTATTTTAGTCCTACTCAACAGAAAATCCCGGGTACTAGTGGTCAACAGAGCAGGTCATCTGGTTAACCACGTACACGCTGGCTGGGAGTCCATTCAGCCGTGGAGGAAGGCCTAAAACATTACGGTTCTACAGTACAGTATTGGGGCGTTTCCGACTGACCCAAACATGATTATTTCGCAATTTTCACCCCTTCAATCCCTACTTTCATATTCCCCCCCGTGTCTTGGAGTGTTCGAGCCTCGGTGTTATCGGTCTCACATGTATTGTCATGGAGGCGGTGGTTATTTCTCCTTCAATTTTTTTTCGTCCCGTGTCATTTTGCGGCGAGCATCACGATTTTCAAGTGGATATCTGATAAGATGGAAAGTGTTATCTTTTCCAGAGACTGTCTCATAAATGTACATAGCTGTTTTAACGATGAACCGAATGCCTTTGAAGATGAAAACGAAAACAAAAAGAAAGCAACCAAAATAGTACAAGGATAGAGCCCCCCTGCAGGGAATCAACATATCATCCAGCTAGACTCAAACATAATTCCCCGATGCACGCATCTTGCGGACGTTTAGTCCGTCTTGGGCTTCTTCGTACCATACTTAGATCTGGCCGTCAAGCGATTGGGAACACCACCCTGTAGCAGCCACCATTAGTGAACAGCGCTCAACCCTGTTCCAGAGGAGAGAGCAACATACCAAATCCATAGCCCCGCGAACCAAGTGGTACTTCACACCGGGACAATCGGGGGCTCTGCCACCTCTGACCATGACGACACTGTGCTGCTGGATATTGTGACCTGGATCGAGGAAAAGAGACTTGTCAGCCATGTCGCTAATAACCAATACCTCATATAAGCCCGCTCATCTCCCAGAGCCTGCACAACCAAGAGATATATCACATTCCCAAAAACCAGAGAAGGGAACAACGTAGAACCCACCTTCACCAGGAATGTAAGCCGTGACGACCTTGCCGCTGCTCAGCCGCACACGGGCCGTCTTCCGCTCCCCGGAGTTGGGCTTCTTGGGCTTCGTGATACCGGTCTTGAGGCAGACGCCCTTCATCTGGGCGCGGCCGGTCACGGCGGGCGACCGCGAGCGCCGGGCCTTCTGCGCCACGCGGCAGCCGCGGCGGACTTGGTTGTAGGTCGCGGACCTGGACGGGGAGGTGGAGAAGGAGCGGCGCGCCGCCGCGGCGAGGGCGATTTGTGAAGCGGGGGTTCTGGTGGTGAGGGCTGCGAGAGCGGTGGGCGTGCGGAGGACGGGGGTGAATCGGGGGACAGCAGCAGCAGCAGTGGCAGCGGTCTTGATGGAACGGATGGGGGTGGTGGTGGTGGCGGGACGCTGGACGAGCGTCCGGAGGGTGCGCAGGGCGAGGGAGGAGATGAGGGCGGGCATTTTGGCGGAGGTGGTTTGTGGATGATGCTATCCAAGCCGGACTCCCAGTCTCTAGGTACGAGACGTTCGAATTTCCTTCGACGGGAAATATGGCGCCACGTGACTTGGGGTCGGGGGATGGAGAATGGCACGCAGCAGAGAGTTTTTTGCGGGTTGGGGCGGTGTGGTCGGCCGGAGGAGCTTGCGGTGGCAGAGCCGGACGCGCCAGTCGGGAGGGAGCCTACGCTGCTACTATCGATGTCAGAGCTAACGTTACTTGACCTTACCTACATTACCTTCTAATCACTCCGACTTGAACCATCATCCATCTACTCTCACCTTTCTATCCCATCCATCTCCTCCTCTTCTCTCGCTTGACGATTTACACCAGCAAAGCAATCATTGACTATCCCCAACCAAAACACAAATTATCCACACCACCGCCACAATGGTACGTCCACGTCCACATCCAACCCCCAGGGACCTCCATCAACGCCCTCATTACCCGCCGCCATGAACTTCATCCCATCCCATCCCAACCAACCAACCCAACCAACAACCTCAAGCCCTGTCCCTTCCCAGCCTTCATCCTCATCGCACCTCCTCCAACCCCCCCCCC